CATTTGTAAAGTAGATGATAAATCCAAGCAACACACAACTCAAATAACCTGTAATGACTTACCAATAAGAGATGGCAATTTTGACTTGGTCTCCATAAGAAAGCCCTTGTGCACAGCACTGAGTGAGACTGCGGACTCTTGGTACCAAAGCTTTTAAAAGTTTCTGATCTTCCTCATGGACTTTGGACAGCAAGGCTGCAATGATATTCAGTGGTAAACATAAATGTACACACACAAGTACTTTAAATTCCCTTACAAAGTTTATGGTGGGAAATGAAATACCTTTTTGATCAGATGCATGTAATAATTCTGTTTCTTTCTGTGTGTTTTTCAGAGTAGCAGATTGTAGCTGCAGTAACTGTTGAAGGTGCCACAACTCCAACCACTGTGAGCGAGCATGAGAGCAGAGCTCATCTGGAGCCTAAAATCCAAACAAGAATGCTCATTATATTTGACATAATAATTGCAGAAACAAACTAATCACATTTGCTTTTTTTTAAGAAGAAGCGCACTCAGTTATTACATGGCCAACAGAAAAACAACAAGTGATAAAAAGCCATGTAGCAAAACTTACTCTGTATAACGGGAAAAACATGTTCTGGCATAAAGTCCTAAACAGTGGCGACTGCAAGCGATGGATGGAAAGCCATGAGGCTGGGATTCTTTGTGTTCTGACCCCAAACACAAAATAATGCATTAAACAGACAATCTCCAGTTTGCTTCTGACAATCTTTAACCATGTTTTTACCCCTCAACAGTTCTGCGGTCCAATGCAAGAAGTGACAGGGTTCCCAGTTGCTTGGCCTCCTTAGAAATCGAATTTCTTACATTAAATACTGCACTGGTGACATCGTCAAATTTGGGCACCAGCTTTCCTTGTACAAAATCTTGTAACTAAAAGAAAAATATATTTAAAAACGTAAACATTGTGTATCTAAATGTATTAAATTATACCTCTTTTTGTTGGCGAATAAGGTCTGTCTTAGCTGTAGAGTTAGCCTTTATCAGACTTCTGATGTCTTCTTGTCTCAAATCCTGACAAAAAACAAACAAACATAAGACCTCAACAAAACTAACCCATAGGATAAATTAAAGCACTACTGGGTCATGTGAAACTACACATAAGAAAAACACAAAGGTGCAAGTAAAGTATGTGCACATCACCCTTGCAACACACCATATATTCAGTGCTAAAACTTACCACTAGTTTTCTGAAGTTCAAAATGCTTTGCCACTGACTCTGAAGGTTCCGGAGCACTTCCTGTCTGCTCCTGGCTTGTTGGTCCATTTGAATACAACGATCACGGATAAAATCCCTTGTTGCTGCTTGCATCACACACTGGAGTTCCACCTCCAAAGTGGACCTGGAAACAACAAACCAAGCCAGTAAGTGAAAATTTTGTGCAGTTAATTCTTCAAATCAAATCTTCCCACATTGCTAAGGAGTCATTATGAAGATCCTCAGCAAAACCAGACATTTCCTGCTCAGTTTCCTTCTTGTGAGAAAGTAATTGGTTCCTAAGTGCTGTTACCCTCACTCGAGTTTGAGCCAGTTCTACCAAACTTTGCTCTACCTCCTCCCATGCGGCCTAAAAAAAAAGACAAGTAAATTACACTGTAACTAAACAATACATCATCATTACAGTCTTCATGTTGCACCTGTAAAAGAGTCTTAACAGGTGGTAGTTCTTCTGCTGCCTCTGCTGATATATCCATAAGATGATCATCCTCAAAGCGGAACCTAAACAGACAGAATTGTATTGTAACTAACCATATACACAATTGAGCTATGGTGGCCTGCCCATAGTCTAAAATTCTCCCGATAGTCTAAAAAGAACATGGACTAAACATTGCATAACAAAATCTCATTTTGTTGTTCCTTGTATTGTCATCCACATAAAATGTAACTACACTGTTTAAAAAGCCCGCTCAAATATGAAAAACAGGCAATAAGTGACATTTAAACTCCACAAATTCTATGCAAGAAAATTATTAATCTAGAAAGTATTTCTACCACCATCTATGAGAAACACTACATATTTACCAGTAATATTGTCATACTTTAGAGCGGTGGCGTCATGAGTCACGTTTAATGACCCAACTTTGTCTTCAAGGTCTTTCTGCTCAGAAACAGCTAGATATTGCAGTGCTGAGAGGATTTGGTTTGGAGGATAGCCACACAGCAGATCCTGGTAAAAGTTAAATTGAATGTAATGAAACTAAAACTGTAATTCAGAATGCTCAAATTATTCAAGAAAAAGCACCCACCTCAGCTGCACTCAACCAGTACTGAAACACTGACTTTCTCTGTTCACGTGTCATCCTACAGAGAAACAGAAGTATGACTTCAACTTCATTGATCCACAAGGGAAATTATTTGAACACAGTAGCTCACACATCACAATATATTATAATAACAAATATATATAAATGGTAATAATAAATTAGCAAAGAAAGATGTCAAAAGACAGGTGTCAAAAAAGGCATACCATAATTGTATAAATGTATATATACACAAGTTAAAATAAAAATAGTCAAATTACTGTTTATTTGTAATTGTCATTTTTTGATAGTACTTACAGTGTGTCCTCCATTTTCAGTTCACTCTCCTGTAATGACTGATAAAACTGTATCCTGTCATTACACAATTCCCGCACTTCACGCTAATTAAGAAATCACAAAATATACACGCTTTTAATGACTCAATTTAAATGACTAAATAATACTACTACATTAAATAGCTAACAAGGCTTATTAGTCGACAAAAGAAACAAACAAGAAATAAATGATTACTTACTAGCACTTGTGCTTCTGGGGCAGCTTTAGAGTTTAGACTTTCTTTATCGCTTAAAGATTTTTTATCAAACAAAACTTCCACCTCAGCTTTCCTACAGTAACACATGCAAACAATAAATACTTTTCCATGATTTTACCTCCTCATCCCTGGTGGTTTTCTCACCTAGTCATCTGTTCAAGAGCCTGGCTGTGCCCATTGATCTTTTTGATGTCATCTATGAGCACCTGGCGGTCCTCAACACAGTGCTGCCTTAAGGACAAAAGAAGCAGCTCTCTGCAGCGGTTATCCTCAACCTGTGCCCATGTGCGCCCGATCGACTGCTCTGTGGAGAAATCAGGGCCACTTTTATAAAATGTACAAAGAAGCTCAACAGCCCTGCCTCCCTCTCGGAATCCAGAAGCAAAATTCATGTTTTGTTTTGTTTTTTACCCGCAGACACAGACAGAATCTAGAGCTGAATGCGAATGTAATATTTATATTTATATATTTATATTAGTAATATTTTAATTGTTGTTAATTTGTTTATTTGCTTTTAATTTTACCTTTACAAAGCACCAAGATCTAAAAAAATATTTATATAAACTTAAAAAAAAATGTTCTTGCTCTAGTTGTATTGTGGGCATAAGTTTGTTTTTAAAGCTCTTAATGACCTTGCTCTCCCCCCTATTTAACTGAACTCCTGTCTATCCACTGCTCAGAGGGCATTAACCTCAAACAAAAAGCAAACAGCTTCTATTGGAAGTCCCTGGAGCCAAGGGGCTCTGATCGGTCTTTCTCTGTCACTGACCAGACACTGGAACAAACCGCCTAATAATATGCACACAATCACATACATTGGCCTGTTTAAATCCAGGCTCAAGACTCATCTATTCAGACTGGCTTTTAACACAGTAAGTGAAACAATTAAATAAAGCAAATCGTGCAGTGTTTTGAAAGTTTTTATAGTGCATTGGTTTTATTGGAAAGTACATTGGCTATATAAATAAAGTTTGATTTATTGATGAGCCAATATAATTACCTTGTTAGCTTCAGTCTTAAACAAATATTTGATTTCTTTGAAAAGGTGGTGGATGAAAATTAATGGGAAAACGACAAGCAACCAAACCTTGTGTGGCTAGTTGCTCCTCTGTTCCACTGATCTGTGAATCCAAGTGTGCAATTTCAGCAGCAAGTTTCTCTATTTCTCTCTGAAGGTCTTTCTGTTTAGCGGCTTCACTTTTGCCCTCTGCCTGTTTCATCTGAACAAGATGTTAAAGTAATCAACCAGTAACTGCGTATAATTTGGTTGTGAGGTATTGGCCACAAACCTGATTTTCTTGAAGCATGTTGTACCTAAAAAGAAAGCCGTCAAAAACAGTGAATTAAAACAATACTACTGACAAGATAACGTTTAAATATTTAATGAGAAAAAGGAGTACCATTTAAGATTGCCACGGATCATCTTTATTTTCCTGTAAAAATACACGAACCAATTAGTGCACATATTACATTATCACACTGTAATCTGAACACTACAATTCAAGACATGAGACGACATTAAATCAGCAAACCTTTGATGATATACATGTTGAATTACATATTTCCAAATTGACTTCCCTGTTCCCACACACAGCCTGTAATACATACATATTTAAATGTAAAGAGATGGATAATACTAAAAGCAATGAAACAAATTAATGCATACGTTTTGAAATAGCTGTCATTTGGCAAACTGTCCGGAGGAAGGTTGAACTCCTCTGTCGCCCAGCGTTTTAGCTCCTGAACCAGATTTCTGTCCGCCATCATAAACTGTAGCAAGACACGTTTACGTCGTAACAAGTAGAAAAAATACACTAGTTAGTATAACCAATAACTTTTATACATTACAGAAGTAAAAATGAGCGCTGTTGTTTTTGAGAAAAGCTTCACCTTCCCGCCCACTACGTCATTTCCGTAGCTACTTTCTCTCGTTTATGATATCCACAACTCGTCTGTGCACACTACCCCCTAGAGTTACAGTTTATTGTTACAGCTTACGTACGTGCTGTTACTAAATGTGTTGATGCTACAACAACGCACCATTACACCTTTGGCATTATATTCAATGAAATTATTTTTTCCCCTTTACTTTTGTACCAAGGATTTATTGTAACTTTGGCATACACCCCATAAACACAAAAGCAAGAGACTTTTAACAGACATTTATTTTGGTAGTAACCACAAAGAATCAATCTTGTAGTATATCTACGTCTAGATGCACAGCATTAGACTTTTTATCCACTGATGCAGATTTGGCTTTAACGTTCACCACTATAATTCGTCAGTTCAAATAAGCAATAGCACAAAACATGGTGCATATACATCGAAATAAATAAGACCTGAGTTAAACATAAGATAATGCACAATATATGTAGTGCAGATGGCAACCTGTTTCATGATATTCCATGTTGAACAAATTAATTGTAGAGGCAAGTAAAAAAAATGTACTGTAAAACCTCATTAAATTAAAATAGAACATTTCAACAATGTTCAAATAACCATAAACAATAAGATGTCTTGGATGCTTTCAAAGTCAAATCTAAAGATAAATTCAGATTGTACCCCACATCCATAGCACCATGTAAAAGACTTGAGGCCTGCTTCAGTCTTTGGTCACCGTATCCTTGTGAAAAGATTTAAAACAGATACAGATTCCTAAAAACAGTAGGAAACAACAATTATCCATGTATGCATTTTTAAACGATGCAAGTGATGCTATTTTAAAGTATAAAATGTAATCTTACCTTTGTTGATCTTGTTTTACTAAATACGTTCCAAAATCGAAGCGTCTCATCTCCAGCTCCTGTTACAATGGCCTCACCATCCGGAGACATTGCCTACAAAATGTTTTTATATTTATAAATGCATGATGCAAAACATGCAATGGCTGGGGAACAACAATTTATAGAATTAGCAAAAAGTATAGGACACTAACCAGATACAGAACGCGGTAAGAGTGTCCTGTCAGTTTGGCCACCTGTGTGAGAGCTGGGTATTTCCACACCAGGATCTGGTTCTGAGAGTAGCCATGGGTGCTCACCTGTAAAGTGGTCAAAATATTAACTAAAGCTTATTTAATAAAATCTCAAACTAAGTAGCATATTTAAATGTGTACTCTGCAAGTTGTCTGGTGAGAAGTCAGTTATTGATTTGATGGAATATACCACAGCGTGGCATTAAATTAATCTATCCTGCATTACATATATAGCATTACAGTATTCTTCAAAATACCTCACGATATGGTAACTTTTCTGTTGACCACCTTGGGACTGAGATGCATATTTTTGAGCAAATACACCTGTAATTGTGACTTTAATGCTGTACTTTGTTGCATTCCAAGCAAAAACATCTCCATGGAGACAAGCAAGCGCCAGACCCTGCAGATATATACTGTATCTTTAAAATAATACATTTTGAACGCTCGTCACATACCAGCTCATTGGCGTGCTTGGACCAGGCCAGGTTGCACACTTGTGAACCAGTGTCCATGCACTGCAGCGGCTGTGAGGTCAGAGTGTTCCAGAAGCGGATGCAGCGGTCAGCCGTGCCCCCTCCTGACGCCAGCAGCCCATGCTGATGAGGGGACCACGCAATGGCTTTCACTGCAGCCAAGTGGTCCATGTATGTCTGAACTGGACTCAGCGAGGAGTGATTCCAAATCAGCAACTGGTTATCAAAAAAGACAAGACAATTAATTATTAAAGAAATAACACAACAAAAAATAGAAAGTAGTAGGCACCTTGTTATCATTGCCACCAGAAGCAAGTAGCTGGTGATCTGTACTCCATTTTAAGCCACACACTTCTTGTCTGTGTCCCTGCAGCCGTCTCTCAGATTGAAGAGGAGGAGTTCGCACGTCTCTTTGAAGAATCATACGGTCGCGGCTACCTGAAGACAACTGATCGGCATTCCAAGCTAGTGCTCCTGCATGAAATTAAAAATCTCAAAATTACTTTAAAGTAGATTTAAAAAGTATCACACAAAAACTTGTTCTCACCAACTCTGGCTGTGTGTCCTTCTAAGGCAAAGAGTTTCTTTCCAGCGCCAGCATCCCAAATCTGAACATAACCCTTGTGAGTCCCCACAGCCACTAAATTACCCTGAAATCACAGATAATCATCTCAGTAATAAACTGAATTTAGTAAAATATGTATATCTATATCTCACCCTTTCAGACCACCCAACGGATGTGACAGAATCTCCTTCCACAGACAGATCACACAATCTGGTGACCTGTTAAAGAGATATACACATCAAGATTTTAAGTGGATTTAATTGCAGAAAACATAAAAGGAAAGAAAATGAATCAATTACCTGACTTGTGCATGCACTCCAAAGGTACACACATGTGCCCAAACCAACACTGAGGACATTAAGTGATGACCAATCAACCAAGTTCAAATAAAAGTCATCTTGAAGCTCAGGGGCATCTAAGACTTTAAATGGGATTTTTGAAATCTTACGAGTTGGCTTTCTGGGAGAACGTAGCAATTTCTGACTATAAAAGAAAAAGTGAATTCTTTACAGCAGCAAGCATATCACTAAATATACAACTAATATTACAATCCGTTAGTGTACCTTTTATTTGAAACAGGTGATAGAGAATATGGGGAGATGTTAGAGCCATTGTCAGATGGTGATCTTCTAGTGTTTAATGTGTACTGTAAACAAATAATGAGAGGACGTGATATTACATAGCCTTATTATTGTGAGTGCATTACACAAAGTGAGTACATTGAAGAGACTTCTCTTTTCCGGAGTAGCTGGTTGTAGACGTCGATCTTCAGTTTGAGGGTCATGGATTTTTTCTATACCAGCTCCTAACAGCTCATTCTTCAACAAAGCAGAATATGCCAGCCCATCTGCTGTAATCACAACATTTAAATGAAAAGTCACACCACCACACACATTAATCTATCTCTCTATTTGATCCATTTACCTTTATTGGTATCAGAAGAGGCTTCCTTTGTCTTTCTATTCTGGTTTTGTGTTTTCTCATTTTCCTAAAAGTACATAATAAATTACTCTTAAGTGCTTGTATTCCATGCATAGTTGGCACACAACTTTTATGTTTGTCTGATTTTTCTTACACTGATTTTGTGAAAATTGATACTCCAACTGGCTCCTGCTCTAGTGGGAATGAATCTGTCTCCAAGTTTACTTGGTGATGATAAAGGAGATCTTGGAGTCCGAAATGCCTGCAAATACTGTTGTAATTTATCAGTGTATTTGTTAGTAGAGCAGAAAACATGTTGAAAAAAAATGTCTTACCATAGGATTCAAATTGTCATTCTGAATGTTTATTTGACGAAGGAGGCGGTGCTCATACTCCGGGTCCATTGAGACGAAGTTAATCTATTAGAAAAAGAAAGAAAGAAATTGTTTAGTGAGAACAATCAAGTAATCTGCAAACAAACTCATGAATGTATGCTTGCATAAAGGTGGGTTTATGCCTTTTGTGTTTTTCTATTATGCCGTGACAGTTAATTTTAACCAAACTATAGAGCAATTCAGGAGTCCATCTGACCCTGAGATGGCCTAAATGGTCCTTGGCAATTTGAAAAACAAAATCTAATATAGGTTTGCACAAATAATGCCAATCGCTGGGTTAGCACTGAAAGCTAGTGGCTAATAAAATTATATCTGCCTTTGACAACTCACCTACAACAACCAACAGAGCTTAAATAGCAGCGCAGAGACGAAAGTTCGGACGGACAAAACAGTTTATGAAGATTTAATGGTAAATTACTCTTATATTAAGGTTTTTCGGGTGTTATTATTTTGAGGGAATGCAGCCAGTTTAGCTACAGTCTATGGTGTGTCTATGGTGTGTACCGATGCATTGTGGGAAACGCTGGGGCTATGACGTTTGCCCTTTGCCACAACAAATCATGACAACAAATGGCAACAATCTTATCCTTAATAAAAACCGACCAAAACCAGGAGAGTGCCCACGGGGACGACTTTTAACACAGGCTCCAGTGGGCTAAATCTGTTTTTGTTAACTAAGGAAATTGTTTGACAAAATAGTTTTGAATTAGTTTGTGGTTCTGTATATTTCTATAAATCACATAGTTTACCTCAGACGTGTTCAGGCCATATGTCAAATAGCACGACAGGGTTGAATTTGTTTATTGAAAAGGAGCTGTTTGGTGTTGTGCAGTTAACCTTGAATACCGACAGATGGCGTAGTGGTACTTAAAGAGGAAGGTGAGGCTACAGAAATGTAATATTATTGTCATTTGGCCCTCCTCACATTTGGTGCACATCGCCCCTACCTGCTCCCAGATTAGGGAATAACAAGATTAAATGTGTATGGAATAGTGTTGATTGTTGTGTGTTTATCCAAAAGGGCCTAAGATGTGAGGTGCCCTCAAATATAGCTACACTAATCATTTTTTGTCAGTAGAGTTACTTGATAGTTTTAATCCTTTGATCTAATATTCAGATGAAAAGAAATAGGGCTGAGCAATATTGGTTCCAATATCATTATCAGTGATATATTGAGTGATATATTGGTATCCACTTCAAATTCAAATTTTTAGCAATTATAGCTTTTGTTGTTTTCTTTTTATGTCTGTGTAGCACTTTGGATGTGCTATATAAATAAAGTGGATTTGGATTTGATATTGGTATCAGTCTGATACTGAAAATTTTGCAGGTATCTGGCACCTAAATTTTATCTAAGATGCCCCAGTCCCTGTGTGCCCGTGAGCATCAGATCTGTCTCTTTGAACATATTAGTGATTAAAGGAAATAGAAAAGCAATTAGACAAAAAATAAATAAATTAATTAAAAATACATACAACACAACATTTACACAGTCATTATTTTATATCCCAGTTAAATACTTTTATCATGTTTACAAAAGTAAAAAGTTCATTTGTGAACTTTGCTATAACTTAACCTTTGTTTTTCTTCCTTGATATGGATTTTATCTATGGCCACAGCAGCAAGGCAAATATTGAATATCAGCCCCAAAAATCACCATTCGTATGAAGAAACATGACATGAATAAAGGAAGCATCATGCATATGTTACTTCTGAAAGACCCACATAACTGTCTGGCGCCAACAGGACCCCCCCTGACCCCTCCCCTAAAGTGACCTCCAATTATGTCACCCAGAAATCTGTGACATCCCATTCACAAACACACCTAATCAAAAGTCGTTAATTCTGCTTTTTTCACCCTTAATTATCTTGAGCAAGTGACACGTTTTTCCAATAAAGAAGCTGTTGTAGAGCTGCATACCACAAAATGGGCAAATGATCACTCATAGTTACCAGGTATTAGAGATAATTTTGTTATTTTCTTTCAATAATTATCCACTAGGTGAAAAAAAACTTAATAAATAAAAATGCAGCTTGTCTTGAACAAAGAACATTATGTTTCTTGTTTCATTTTTAATTCCCCCTACACCCCCACCCCCATAAGACATCTGTGTTATTATGTGGCTTACCCTTTTACACCATATAGTGTGTTTGGAAATATTGATTTATCTCTGCGATCCAGATGTCCAGGCCACATTGGGTTATGTTGTCAAATAAGCACATGTCAAACATGGTCAGCCTTATTTTGCAATATTTAAAGGGCCCATATTACTATGCTATTTTCTGATCTATGTTATAATACTGTTTCCTCATCAAAAACATACCTGTGTTTTGTTTCATTCACACAAACACTGCATGTTTAATTCTGCTCTCAAACCAAACACACTGTTCCACCTTGTTATGTCATGTGGTAATACAGAAAGTGTTCCACTGCGTTTTTAAACTCCATACACCTTCACAAAAGGTGAAAGGTACCTTAAGTTGATATCACAAGGTGGAACAGAGCATTTTGAGATTTAAAGATGTGGACAGACTAATAATAAAGAGTAACTCAAACATGTGTGAATGAAACAAAACACAGTTCCTAGTATGAATAACTTTTTAACATGGCTTAAAGCAAGTTCATTTTGCCTAATATAACACCAAATAGCAGCAGTTTTTGTTTCTTTATAATAACACCTAATGTTACTTAACATTAAGACTGAATTATTCATTAACACAATGTATGCATTTGCACTCATTTGATCTGCAGTTTTTTCCCCACAACTTCCTTTGTCACAACTGCTCAAGTTAAATGAGTGCTCCTAACTGTGGCTATAGCCTTGGTGCCAAACTGTCCAGCATTTAGACTGTGTCTCTTTAGTCTGAGCTCGGCCTGGTTCCTAATCCCTGGGCTGTCAGAGCTTCACTCTGAACTCATCCTACAACACAGGAAAACGCTCTAATTGGGGGATTTTCTACATCATTAACTCTGATGAGCATCCATCCCTCCCTTCACTTTTTCTTTTGCTCTGCAGTTTTAATCTGGTAAATCAGCCCCACATTTGGACAGCCTGAAAATCTAAATTTATATTTTCCAGTTACAACTGCAACATACTGTATGGCTATAAAGCTACAGCAGTGTTGCTTTTACATAGTTCTGTTGAATTCTGTGAGGCAGATTAGGATCTTGACAAAAAATTAATGGGTTTCAGTCACATGATTACTTTCCGCTTTGAAGTCTTTTGACCATTAAAATTATATATTTTGATTCGGGTAGTTTAATTCCTATGGTCCTCACTAAAACGAAATGAACAAAATAAAATTTAAAACCCCACCGAATCATGCATGTGCTTTAGTGGCCTTACGGCCGGTCAGCCTGCCCAGGTCCAATTAGGGAGCGGGGGCATGTGGGTGAGAGTCCCCCCTGGAAGGCTCTGATTGATTGGAGTCTCATCTTCCTAACAGCCTGGCACACTGCCATGGAAGCCCAAGCTCTGGGGAAAGAAGGGAGGGTGGAGGAGAAAAGCTGGTCCCATACAACAAGGTGAGATACAGGGCACCACTTTTAGTCAAAAATTGAAAGAAAAATATGTCTCTTCCGGTATATGTCAGATGACAACGATTACTGTAGTAATCTGAATTGCTCTGTGGAGGAAAATAGTCTGGTTTTCTGGGAATCCGCTCCCTGAATGTTATAGAAAGGAATAACAAGGTATCTTCTAACAAACTATATTTATTTTTTTGACAAAACTTTGCATTTCCAGAAAAAAAGAAAAAGAAAAAACAAACAAACATGCAGGTCATACCTCCAGCACATTTTCACATAAAAAACAGCCTTAAACTCCAGTGCATGTTGTCAAGTAACCTTTGGCTTATACTTGGAGCACAGTTACAGGACTGTACCAACCAAAAAAGCTGCAATGAAGAATGCCCAATATTGATCTGTGTTGTCCACAAGTTCAGCCATGGTTACGTAAGCAGTCAACATCTATTGTTTATTTCACATTTTTAGTTTTGAGGGTCACATTTTCACATTGTGTGAAAAAATTTTAAAAAAGAATGAATGAATGAATGAATTGCACTTTGTATAAAAAACAGCAATGTTGATGTCTTTTACATTGTATTAGCGTTCAGTTATTATTTTGATAAAATAGTTGACAAAGTATACACATTGATGGATAATGTAGCTCAATGTACTATTAAAACCATCGAAATATAATAAAGATAAACAAGAAAAGTATGTGTCCTCTTTTGAAGCCAAACAAAACCATGTCATGGTTACAAGGCCTAGTTAGGGCAGCCTGAGACCGTTTCCTACACAAAGGGAATACACTTGGATCAATTGTGCTGAACAAAGAATAAACAATATGGGGTGCCGGATCACATAGGGCCTTTTCTGCTGCTCTGCACGTCCACACACCACCCATCCCGAGCTGCCAACAGGTCTAGCATCTCCAGCATCACTCAAGCACAAAGGCTTACATTATGCACTGGCCTCTCATTTCAATTCACCCGTTCACTTCCAGCCTTAATTACTTGTTTAGATCAATCAATCATTACAGCTTGGCAAAATTAACAATTTTTGGTATATTCTGAGTTCAAAGGTGCAAAAAACTTTAATAAGCAGGAGTTAATTGAAATCCATTACTTATTCACATTTTTTAAAAATTGCATTTGTAGTAATTTTCTTCCAGTTATGGCCACAACACTTCATTGGCATAATGTGTTCATCAACACAGCAATCAATCATCAATCACTTTAAGTATAACTTGATTGGGAAGACCCGTTATTGGGTATAAAAATAATATTTAAAAAATATTTTTTTATTATATCTTTACGTTAATGTCTAAAAAAAAAAAAAAAATAATGGCTTGCACAAATAACTCATAATTTTGAATATTGTATGAAGTCATCATGCTAACTGTTGCAGAGATGACAAATATATCACTGTATGCAGTGTTGTTTAGGTGCATTTAAACTGTTACAATCTCATGGTATGGTATAGCTGCAGCTGTATTGTCTTTGTTATTAAAAAAAAAAAAGAAAAAAAAAAGAGGAACAGAGACTGAATTCTATTTCCAGCTGCCAATCACTTGTGTTGCTATATTGGTCATCACATGGGTTGCCAGGTCTTGTCCATGGACTGAATGTGCTCCTTTGCTTTCATTCTGAGAGCAGCGATGCTAGAGCTGCGCTGGTCTACATCCTCTAGTGGGTATTTGTCTGGGTATGGAGCAGGGCATTGATAAGGGGGAGGTGCCATACTCTGCATCCCTTGGCCCATAGATGGGTGTGGGTGTGAGTGAGCAGGGTGTGGGCTAGAGTTAAGAAAACTGTGGCTGGGATAGCTGGGCTGGAGGCTTTGAGGTGGCCCCATAAATCCAGGTATGCTGTGAACAGGAGTTGCACTGGACAGAGGAGAGGTCAGCCAGGGGTCCAGGGGCAGAGAGTTGGTGATGGAGCTCATGCCTGTGTGCACAGGTGTGGGGCGATTTAGTGACAGCATAGGAGGGTCATGAAGCTTCATGGTGCTGGCATCCATTTTCTCTTGTCTGCGCCATTTTGCCCTGCGATTCTGAAACCACACCTGTAGAGACATAATTATCATTAGAACAACCCAAACACAGTGGAACGTACATGTTCAAGCCGTTGTTGAGACACTTGCCTGAACACGAACTTCGGGGAGGTTGACTTTCATGGCAAGCTCTTCTCGGCTGTACACATCTGGATAGTGGGACTTCTCGAAGGCCCGCTCCAGCTCGTGAAGCTGGTAGGTGGTGAACGTGGTGCGGTTTCGTCTGTGCTTCTTCTTGGGGTGATCGTCTTTGCAGGACTCTGGAGAGTTGCCTTCTTCACTCTCCACACTCTTCCTCAGATCATTTAGTTCTTCATCACACTTGCTTGTGAATAAACTGGTTTCTGTACAGGAAATAACAAATGCATAAAGTTTTTAATTGCTTAGAAAGGTCAAGACATCTGTGAGGTGAAGTACATCAAGTACATCAGAGATGCAGTAGGCATAATTAGCATCAATACATTTAAATCAAAGTTACTAAAAGGAAAAAGATAAGCAATGCCATTCTTGTGAGTATACAATGCTTATGGAAGCTAATACATGGCACATCACCAGTGGCAGCTGAAACAACAGAAAAATCTCATTTTATGTTCACCAAAGTTTTAGCCCTATGGAATGACCTTTCCTCAAAACAACAAACATTTCAGAAATAATGACTTGAATAAAATGCTTTCAACACTGTTGTTAAAATAAATAAAAGACATCGAAAAGGACCCACTTAGTGACCACATTGTGGTGTGTTGAGTGGGACAAAGCAGGGGTCACTCTGCTTTCTACATAACAAACGGAGGCTGAGTGCAGAGCTGCTAGCAGCTCATTTATCTACCTCTCATTAAGGAGCCATGACAAAGGCCACACTCCTACAAAGCCAGAGGTCAGGTCTGGTTCAGTGCCCAGGCTTCGGCCTGTCAGCCCATCACAGGCACCAGACTGAGGCTGCCCACTGTTCATGAGCATCTCCAGAGACAGGGGCTGCTCACTGAGGGGGAACTGGGCTAACTTCACAGGATAGCTCCGCACAAAAGAGTGCTGATGTCATCGGTGTGATGAGCGTCCAACTGAACACAAATGGATTCATACACATAGACCTTTATTGTCTGGAGCTTCTACTCAGAATTCATTTTAATTTTGCTAAAATCACCAACCACCTGTCCGATATTCTACAGAAGCAAAGTGAAAATAGTCTTGGATTAAATGCCATAAATTTGTCTGTGAGACATGCCGATGACAATAACAAGAGAATGAAGACTTCACAATCTAATCTGTGCAGATTAGGGGAATTCCACAAGGGGATGGGATTGGACATGGGCATAAGCTCCTACACCATCTTGTTCTATGATTTATCTCTCTGTCTAAGGCCACACTGTTCACAACTAGCAACAGGGGGTAGTGATGGTGTTAAAACTCAAGCAGCATTAAATCGAAGGTTGTTGAAGCTAAAACCATAATACATTAAGGCAGTTAAATGTTGAGAGTTTAGAGGTCATGTTTCTGTTTGAGGGTGTTGGCGTACCGCTATACTGTTGCTGCTCTGTGTTGCCGTTCCTCAGAGTGGACAGGTGACCGCTGAATGTGGGGTCCTGCTGTTTACTGGACTCCACCAGACTCTCCATGTCCACACGCGGAGGTCCTGAGCCCCCTGTGGGACTGAGCAGTACCTCGTGGTCTTTACTGAAGCCCAGAATCACATCAATGCTGTGGACATGCCCTGGACCCACACTGCCCCCACTCTTCCCCATGTCATGGAAGTTACTGGGTGAAAGGCAGCTGTCGTCCACCAGACTCATGGTATCCAGTGATAAATGCATCCAGGCGTCTGCAGTGGATCTGTGAGGAAGAGTATCAGAGATCACCACATATGTCCTGACAGCACCTAGTGACTCTGTTCTTTACTGGACTTAACCTGCTTATCCCATCTCAGACACTGTGCTCTAGACTTCATCATGACCATGCTTTTAAACTGCCTTCATTTCTCATTTTTAACAATAATTAATGTTTACAGTAATCTGCAACAAAATTTTTGAAACTGACATAAACTTGGCTAGTGTAGAACAGATTGGTGCAATCCCTCATTTGTGCAGGACAGTACTGTACAGCTACATGTAAGTTTACTAAAAGCCTTGACAAGACAAACTATTGTAATTACTTGTGAATTAATTACTATGAAAGATCAAATATAGGTGTGATTATACTATTTCGAAGTAATGTAAAATTTGTACCAACCTTAAGTCTGAACTATAAAAATCTACTGCAACTGCAAAATATACTCATAATGTTTTAATCTGTTAAAGTTTACTAAAGAGTTGTCCATCAAGCTAAACAAATTAATGTGAAATGAAACTGTAGCATACCTTTGAGTAAGTTGAATGGTCGAAAGTTGCCCCAAAGTCCCAAACTCCAACTACAGACTCTCACTAATATTTACTCTCCAAAAACTGCATCGCTTAATAGTCCTTGAATGACATTAAATCTGTACAGAAAAAGTCCAGGAGCAGAACAAGTGGCCCACAGACAACTTCAGCTGCTGCACGTCGAGCTCAGAGAGTTACAGAGGAGTGAATGGAGAGCGAGAGGTGCACTGACAGCCAGGGAAACCAGAGGATTAGGAGCGGTTTATTAATTGGAATCCTTCCCCTTCAAGAGTGATTGGCAGCTGCTTTTGCCAAGTGATTGTTTTAAATGTTGGGTTCATTCCTGCCCTCGAGAGAAGCCAGCCCTAATGAAGCACAGATAACACACGCTTTCAAAAATTCATTGCTGTTTGGACAAAAGAGCCAGTTAGGTCTCACTAAGGAGCACTGGTTTCAATTTGAGGAAATAGATTACAGCTTTATCCAAAGAGTTCATATTTCTATTGTTTGTAAATTGAATTCTCAATTGCCAATTTACCTATATCATAGTATAATTGCGTATTGGTTTCTGAAATAAATCTGCACAACAAGGAGACAAATGCATGTCCAGTTGATGCAGGGACACAAACGTGATCTAGGGACAGTCATCAAAGTTCAACCATTACAAATATTTTTTTGTTTGTTTTTAGTTGTTGGATTATAAATAATAGCTTTCTTTGCTTTCTTAATTCAGCATAAACTTGTTAAGAAGGCATCTTGAGTTGTAGTTTTCAAGCAGCTTAGTTTTATCAGATGGCAATGTAAGTCCCCCTGACACCATTAGAAGAGCAGCTAACGTGTAAATGTGCACTCAGCTTAGCCAAGCAAGTAGAAAGGAGCTGAGGAAAGAACTTGAGACTTGAGTTTTTAACTAACATAATGATTTTGATTATATATATATATATATTAGTGCCCCCCTGACATATGCTTATCCTATGTATGTGAGCGGGCTCAGACATCTACACAAGACCATCACATCTGAGAAGTAACAACAATTATCTGTGTCTTTGATGCTTTAATGAAATCGGTCTTGTCTTAGTTTGCTAAATATGGTTTATTGGTGTTTAACTGACTGATCCAACTCTTAAACAAATCAGACTATTTAATTGGCTTGTTTAAACTCATTGATAAAAACATGAGAGAAATTTTGTTGAATATGATCAATCAATGACTAAATGGTGAACAGCAGTTTCAGTAATACAGTTTTTTTCCCCCCCGAGAAAACAGTTTTACCTTTAAAACCTTTACTGGATAAGTAAGCCAAGCTGTAGCTTTGTCTCATCCTCAGATGGTCTCAGGTCACCATCTACTTAAAGATAACCTTATTTCAATGTTCTTTAATGTGTTTATTATGTTGGTCTAATACTGCTTTGACTTAAACCATTATTTTTATATTATTTTATTCTTCATGCAATTATTACTATTAGCTATCTTCAGTCATTCTGCAATAGTTAAACAGTTGTTAAAATTACTATTATAATAATTTAATTGCATTTAAATCACAGCTACAAAATTGTATGTTCATGAACCACTAAACAAGATTGTTACAGTTTTTCTCTGTCTGTTTTATTTCTGTTTTTGCTCTAAATCCCTATTGAACTTGTCAAGCTCACCCCAGGAGAGCTTTGGGAAATCACAGCAGATCGAGCAAATTGCCAAGGACCTCTCCATGTTTTCCAAAAACAACAACTGAAAGGATCAGGCCTTAATTTTGGTCTATCTCCCAAGACAATGCCAGGCTTACACAGATTTACATGTTAGAACATCTGTCATTTCCTCTCAAGATCACAGCCACAAAGGACTCATTTTACATTTTATTTAGGAGTTGAGGTACTTGATGTTATTCTCAATTAGTTACACAGTGACCCTGTGATGTTAATGTTAAACTGAAAATGATATACACCCCACAGTGCTTCAGTTTTACAGTAAATCCAAATGAAACTAGCCTCAATAATCAGCTGCTCATAAGAGTAAATATTATTAAAATATGTGATTTCGTTTCATGTATATCACACAAAAGATAGTCTATCCACCATATCCAAAGAAATCAAGCAAGTGTGATTTTCATAGAAAATAAGTATAACTAACAATGGATTTATACACCAAATATTGTGTGCAATTCTTTATATATGATAATGGTATCATCCATTAATTGCTGTGTAATTTCAACACTTTCAAAAATAAATTATATCTTTTGAATATGAAAAGTCCACAAAAAATCTTTTCAGAACTCTAAGAAGTGATGTCACCAAAACCAATGGATCGCCCTTGAGAAAAATAATTATACTGATGTTACTATACTGAATCCTAAAAACATAAATTAAACCATTACTTAAAATTAGGCAATCTAACATGTGTGAATGAGCCCCTCCATAATGTTTAGTACAATAATTTTACTAGTTAATAAGCATGTCACATTTGAGTGACATGATCATGGCTGGCCCTTACAGTGCTCTTCTTGAGCAGGCTGCAGGGCTTGTGTTATTTTGACTCATCTCTTGCTCTAGTTTATGTCTCAGTTTTTGGAAGGAGGGTCTGCGGCGTGGTTCCTGCTCCCAGCACAGCCTCATCACAGAGTACAGGTCAGCGGGACAGTCCTCAGGAGCCTCCATACGATAACCAGCTTCAACCATCTCTTTCACTTCTGCCACGTTCTAAACACAGAGACAAAATATTTAAAAAAAACTTAAGAGATTTCAAATCAGTGGGTGCATTTACATGACACTTTTGAATATGCTAATGATCAGATTTTTGATGTGCATTGATTTTTTTCACTTTACTATTTGAAAAACCTATAATTGAAAGTTTAATGACAGAAGTGAACATAACAACAAACCATTGTGTAGATTTGCTGCAATTAGCAGACAATCAGTCACATTTAAAGTGACACCAGCAGCAGCGTTGTCCGAAGGAGAGCTTTGTGTATTTATTTAAATGCCTTGATCCTTTTGACCGAGCGGGACCTTTAAGCAATGAGATTAAAGCTAAGAGTAGTGGGCAGGGCCTGCACCTAACTTCCTCTGTCACTCAATCTCTGTGTTATTTATACGTCACACAGGTCTTATTTCTCTTCAGTATACTGTGTTATGACGCACTACCACAACCTCTGACCCTTGTAGTTTCCTGCTCAGACAAAGTAAGTCAGTGTACAGATGATGCTAAAGTGACACACCTAATCTCCAGCTCTGAACCTCTGCAACCTCAGTGACACCAGTGACACAGTAACAGTTACATAATTAGGTTAGTAATTTTCCTGTATGCTCAGGACTGTAGACCACATTAAATATAATAACATAATAACAAAGGCATAGATGGTTATTTACCATCGTAGGGTATGGCTGACGACCATATGAGAAAATCTCCCAAAGAAGTATACCATAACTCCAAACATCTGATTTGGTGGAAAAATTCTGCAAAAATTGATTACACTTTTGGTCAAAACAACATACATTAATGTAAAATAACAAACATATAAAGGCCAATAACAATATCAATATCCAATTTTTAATGGAGGGTCCTGCTGGTGTCTATGGAGACGTCATTGCATTGCATAGTCTGGAATGTTGCCCAGTATGGCATTAACACATCTCTAGTATCTATTCAATTATACGTTTTATTTCTTGAAATGCATATGTTCTTATCGTGAGCAAACTTGCTTCTCCACAGATGTGACTTATAACTTGACCTGGTGTCTTGTTTCCATGGAAAGAGAGTTTAATGCTATATTGTAGAACTTTTTAGGCAAAGCAATACCATCTCCATGTTAGCAGACTTTCCACTAGAAAAGTTGCGCAGTGAACCTTAAGGTAAGCAAACCTGTTTTGTAAGGGCTTCTGGGGCAGTCCATTTGATGGGCAGTTTGGCGTTATCTGAAGTCTTTGAGTGCACCTTAGTCAGGCCAAAGTCACTGACCTTGGCCACACTGTTGTCAGAAACCAGAACATTTCGAGCAGCCAGATCTCTATGCACTAGCTTCACAGATTCCAAATACTCCATCCCCTCGCACACGTCTCTGTATCAAACAGGCTCATTAAAGGGCTCATATTACTTTCTGATCTATGTTATTATGTCTCCTCATCAAAAACATGCCTGAAGTGGTCTTTTGTTTTATTCACCCATGTTTAACACACAGATCTTGCATATTTAGGCTGAGTTCTTCTCTCAAACTGAAAACACTCTGTTCCACCTTGTGATGTAATGTGGTAATACATGAGCTGCTCCAATGTAATTTTAAACTTGATTCACTTTCACTAGAATCATTTAGACAATTTCAGTCTTGGAATGGCCAGTCTCTGTTGAGCAAAATGTAAAAGGTAGCTGTTAACTTGAAAACTACCACTTCATGACATCACCAGGTAGAACACAGTATTTTGAGCTTGGGAGATGTAGACGGACTAATAATTAAGTGTTATTCAAAAATGTGCGAATAAAACAACACACAACTCCGAGTATGTTTTTGATGAGGTTACATTATAACGTGGCATAAAGCAAAAAATCAATTTTGTGTAATGTAGGACCTTTCACCAGGTGTGGACTTCACCTCGGTCCATCTACTCACAGAGCAAACTGCAGCAGCTGGCCTACTCTCACAACCCAACGGCCTCTGGATCTGAGCAGGTTTGCCAGATTTCCCTACAACAAATGCAAAGATGTGAAGAAGTTTGTTTTTATTGTAATTTTCTTATATTAAAGAGCCCATATTTTGGTATTTTTTGATCTATGTTATAATGTTGTTTCCTCATCAAAAACATACCTGGAGTTGTGTTTTGTTTCATTCACACGTTTTTCTCTCAAACAGAAAACACCCTGATTCACCTTGTGCTGTCATGTGGTACATTTCATCCCTGCCATTGTCAGTCTCTACTGAACTAAAGGTAAAAGGACTGAAATTATAAACAAAACACAACCCCAGGTATGTTTTTGAGGAGGCAACAATATTCTAATATGGCTTACAGCTCACAAGAGTCAATTTTGCATAATATAGGCCCTTTAATAGACCATCATAGGTGTTGCTTACGACCATGGTATATCGCTTTTTGCTTTGTTGCCATTTGTTTAAACAGCCCTAAATCAGAGTACCAACGAATTAAGCCTCTGGGTTTAGGCCTAATTTAATTATGGAGCAGCAAGAGGGCTAATCTGACTCCTTAAACCTGCACGTTTACGATGCACACTATGTTGGCAACAAAACAACAGTTTGAATAGAATAATTGACAATTAATCTGATATTTTAAAAATAAAACAAAACTGAAACTTAATTAGGCCTAATGAGCTCAGATTTTTTGTTTAAGAATATAATAAAACACTGACAACATCATTAGTGCAAAGTGAACGCAATATATCATAAAAGATGTATTGTTATCACATTATTGCAGATCAATTCAGTCATAACAGAAGTATTTAAAATGTGAAACCTTTTCCATGAGCTCAGTCACAATATGCAGTCCTCTGTTCAGGATAACGCCCAACAGACGAACCAAGTTTTTGTGCTGAAGTTTTCTGAAATGTGAAATTTGTTAAGAGAATTTCATAAAATGCAAATATTAGTTAGTAAAATAATTAATTTGGGGCTCACGTCATGACAGTGGTCTCCCGTAGAAAGGCCTGAGCTGTCACGTCACATTTTATGATCTTTACTGCCACCTTCTGGCCCATATAGTCTCCTGCATAAACAGCTTGAGGGGGAAAATGTATTTCACTTAAGATACACATATGTATATATGTATATATATATGTATATATATATATATATATATATATATATATATATATATATATATATATATATATATATATATATATGTATATATATGTGTGTGTGTGTGTGTGTGTGTGTGTGTATATATATATATATATATATATATATATATGTATATATATACATATATATATATATATATATATATATATATATATATATATATATATATATACCATCCCTCTGAAAAAAATGAAAAATATTAGCTAAATATACCTCCAAACTCGCCCTCCCCAATTCTCTCTCCTACAGTAAGTTTATTTATGTCCAGAAGCCATCCAGCTGCAAAAAGGGAAAAAGATTGTGACCATTATATTGAAAAACTAAATAGAATAAATAAAATGTTAACAATTCCACAACTGACAAGCCCAATCACACAAATAACATTAAAATAATAACCAATAATTGTAATAACATCTTAATCTATTATTATAAGCAATAAAACAAGGTTAATAAAACATATTAATAATGTTATAATAAAATTGATGCCAGGCAAAATCTGTAAAGATTCCGTAAAGCAAACAGAACAAAATTCCACGTCGTATTTCTTAAAATTAGGTGGCTGTTAATTGTTTTCAAATTACAGCAACCTTATCAACATCACACAATGACTTGTGGTATATAATTGTTTTATTTAAAAGTTAGTGAGGTAAAAACGTTTTTCAGAGGAAACTATGACTTACTTTTAGACAGTTCTATTTCTGCAGACTTGGTTCCTGTTTTTGGTTTAGGCTTGAGTAATCTGGTGGCAATGAATCCTTTGTTTTTGGAGTAAAACTAGGACCAAGAAAGATAAAGCAATTAATTTTAGTAAGATGACAGGGTTGAAAAGTACTGTAGTCTCCAAAAAGAGGATGAGAAACTTCCACCTTCATACAGACAGCTGATTTGACTGGCTTTCTTTAGAGGCATCCTGGTGTGGGTTATCTTTGTTTTACAGCAACAAGGCTTTCACTGTATCCAACTAACAAGCCAAGTGCAGATAAAAATCTTCATGAATTTTACATTTGACAAGACTGTTATTTTTACACCATTGTCTGTTGCTCTGATGGGTTCATGCTACGAATCCAGAGTATACAATATACAAACACTGTAACTGTGTCATGTAACTTTGACAGAGACCATACTTTGGAAAGTTTTGTACTTCAGGAGATCATGTAAATTACATTGTTTCAGTTTAATCAGGAAATTGTGATAAAATCTCTAATGCCGTATTAGACAATTATTGAATGACTCCTATTATCAAATAAAATAAATGGGCCTCCATTATAAAAGACTGTTCTTCTGAATCTATGCTATGCATTTACCTGTTTCAATAATGGAGTTAAAGATTCATTGGTTAATTAATAATTGAGATGAAAATACTTCTCAAAGTACTAGTGACTTGTTACTTTTAAAGCAACTTTAATAACCTTTTAGATAAGTCTTGACTGAAATTGTGAACAGCTTGTCACAAATATTGATTATGGTACTAGATATTGAAATGAATTAAATTAAATTAAAACTGTATATTCTGATATCCCTAGTTTAAACAATTACTGCTTGCTTTTTCCTAACAAGTAAATGTACGATGGTACTTTGTGAAATCTTACCTCAACCATATCGATGAGGTTGTAGAAAAACTGTTGGTGGTCAATGGTGAGCTTGTTGTCATGGTAAAAGACGCGATAGTGAATCACCTTTGCAGAAACAGCAACACAGAGAACGTAGTCTCCTGGATGTCGGATCGATTCCCGAACCAGGAACAGGCCGTCTTGAGCAGGCTGCAGTTTAGACACAGCCTCTGGGCCTGAGATCTTCCCATGAAACCAGCTGGAGGGATACACATGTATCATTACTCTAAAAACATGTTAATAATATTATAAAATTGGGCAGGTGAAATATGTCATTTATGAAAAAAGAGGTTTTTAAAAATGTATGCAAAATCAATGTTGTTATTATGTTTTAGGTTAAAAATCCTTCAAGAGTAAAGAAAAAAGTCTAATCGGGTTAAAGTCATAGACTGTATATATAAGTATATCTTTATATGGTCTGTGGTTAAAGTACAATATAAAGTAATTCTTGAGATAAAGAATGACTAACAGTGACTTCATGTAACTTCCTAATTTTTTATTTGAGATGATGTATGGTTCTTTGAATGTCACATAGTAGGACTATGCTGCCAAAACAGAGCTCATATCTCAACAGAGGTGGGAAGACTAGCAAAAAAATGCAGAGTAACCAAAAATGTACTCAAGTGCCATCACTTAAGTAGAAGTAGCCTACAAAGTCAAGTAATTGTACTTGAATGTAACTGAGAAGTCTATTTCTCACCTCTAACAATGATACAATAGAATACCATCATTACACACAAGGCAGTACCTTGTGAATGATTATGAACAAAATTACTTACGGCATTAGGCTGAGGTTGGGGGTCTCTTGAATGGCCTTTCTTTCCTTCAGGTCAGTGGCATTAATGAGACCCTCTTCTCCTGTGGTGTTGTGCCTGGACAAGTAAACCCCCTCTTTCTGCAACATAAGTTATTAACAATTCACTATAGCACAGTTACCCATAGAGAAGGCCATTACCTGTGTGAACTATAAACAGGAAGGAAGTGGTACCATAGTTTTATTTAGGACAGTGATGAGGTCCCCTTTGTGATAGAGCAGCTCGCCACATTTAGGCTTTGTGTGGTCCTTTTTTGTCACACACTGAGTTCCCACAGCCCAGCTCATCTGACAACAAACAATAAGGTTCGCTTATTGTTACAGCAATTACCTTTTTTTAGTCACATTTAACTCAGTTCATTTTTATAAAACCCCAAATCACAACAATTATCTTACCCTTTATGGCTTAACCAGATTGATTTAACAAAGTTAGAAAATCAAATCAGGCATTAGTCAATAACAGTTAGTTTAGTAATATTATTTTATACTGAGTTGTCACTTACTTTTGAGTTTCAAGGCTGCAAACGTCTGTTTTCAGTTGTCATGCGGGTAAACCTCATCTCAGCATCTGGTAACCAAACTTTAAGCCTCTTTCTACACAGCAAACCGAGCGTCTCTTTCTTGGATATCTTACTTCACCACGTCACGATCGGAAAAATATACTTTGCTGCGGTCTCTTCCGTGGTCTTTCACTGTCTAGCAGCTCACTCGAATCTCCCCGAGTCTCCATCGTCGGTGCCACAGTATTTAAAAATCCCTTTCATATTTGATAAGTCACGCGGGAGGCTTACACGCGAGTTCCGTCCTCTCATCGCAACTCTGCTTAAGCTTAGTAGCGCTGCTCCCACAGGATAACAACACAAACGCTGTTCAGTCATAATGTGTATACCAGAGATATATGGCATACATTATGTTATACATAATGCAAAACAAAACAAACAATTGGTGACACTATGTTAAAAGATTTTATTTTCTCACTTTTAAGCAGCACTACAAAAGTGGGAAACAACGTCTGACAGCAATCACTAATAACAGGTATATTTTATGCTCAAATTATTTATTAAGTTATGTTTCCACACAATAAAATAAAAGGTTACGTTCTAAAACAAACTCAAAATATTACCTGCATGACTTCATTAGATTATAAATATAATAATTTGTGCAGGAGTAAGAGTCTTGTAACCACTTCAGTCTATATTAAGTCTTACGCAAGTACAAGATACCATTTAGCTAATAACTTTGGTAGATAGATGTACATTTTCAAAGGATAGAATTATGGCATTCAGTAACAGTAATAATGCAATTTACCGTAAGTGCTCAGTTTCTTCAGCATGCCACTACTGAAACTTTGTATATAACAAGTTTTTGGAATTTTCTGCAGGAGCTCATGCCTCACGTGAATTTCCGACTATTTTACAAAACAAAAACATTTCTGTTAGAATGAACCATTTTATAACATAGCATTCAACACATCATTGTGCTATTTTTTTTCTTAGTGCAGAGTACTGCTTGTGTGACACTACAGCTCACAGTAATAATTACTGTTATAATAGTGTAGATATACCAGTTAGGTCAACTCATCTTCATATTTTGAAGTTTCTTTTAATTAAAACCTAAGTTGCAGAAGCACACAGAGCACATACTCTCTGAAAATATATAATTACAATATATAGCTTTGTTTTTATTGTGAATAAATTCCTATTTAAGTTCTCCAACTTAAACACCTTATCCTAAATCTATTGTATGTGTGTATTATGTGGTGTTTGAGATAAGTCTGTACTTCACTATGTTTTTGATGCATTTAAGTTGTAAGCCATATAAACTATCAGATCAACAGAGGTCAAGCTGTTTCGTCCTTCTTGTCTTTTTTGCCTTCACCCTCTCCTTCGCCTGTGTCACTGGCATCCCGTCTGCGTTTGCGATTGCGAGCACTGGCTTTTGAAGCTGGTAGAGACTCCATCCCCAAAACTTTATGTATCTGACGGAAAGCAAGGAGCCGCAGGGCATGCTGGAGGGGACAAAAATAAAGTCAAATTTACCAACACAAACAATACATTTAGGTTATGTTCAGCTGATAGGTCCTTTAACCTGTGCACTTGCAGTTATATCTTCTCTTGCTTGAGATGTCACACTCTGTAGAGCATCAGTTTGCTCCTTCTCACAAGGATCCAGAATCCCGGGTCCCTCTGAAAACAGTGGGACCACAGGTTGGTAAAGGCTTAGATGATAAACCATGTGTGTTGTGCATAGTGTATAGTGTATAGCATATACTGTAGAGTATGTATAGTATATACTGTAGTAGCATTCCCGACCTGGGAGCAGGATACCAGTTGAGATGGACTCCAAGACCCTGCGCATGGCCTCACCGGGACTGAGTGGCCCTGCAGCACTGCTGATGACCTTCTCAACCAACAGCTCCATCGCCTGAAAAAAACAAACAAAAAACAGATTTTTTTATGTTGACTTTAAGGAATATAGGTTAAACCTTCATTAAACACTAAATTACCCAGTCAGGCATTTTCCCCCAGGTCGGCACCCGTTGACATAAATCTCTCAACACACGAATGATGATGACGCAGGACTGTAGCCCATTGGCTCGAGCCTTAAAGATAGGTCCAAATAATTTGGTGAATTTGTTAAACTACAAAAACATTTTGTCAAAGAGGATTTACCTGAAACCATTTTGCATGACGCAGGGCAGCCAAGTAATCCAAACATTTGTTCTTGTTCAAGATATCAGGTGGGTCCTTTTCGTCCACGCCTATGACAGATAATACGCTCATATTACTGGCTTAATTCACTTTACATGAAACAAACCTACAAAACAGAATTTTATCCTTCTTAGCTGAGCTCTATTCTTAACGTTTTTAAATATACATTTTTTCATTAATAGTGTAACGTAAAACAATGCACCCAATTAAAATTATTTGTTTACAGAGAAAGAAATTACCAATTTAATTTGGAAGACAACAGAAAGGAAATCCAATGCACTCAGTATGAAGATGTATATACGAAATAAAAAAATATATATTTGAAAAAGTTAAATAAACTGAAGAAAAGACCTAAACTGATAGCAAACTTTGTCTCTTTGTTACTGTGCAGGTCACATGCTACAGTATTAAAGGTACTTAATTCTAAATACACTTTATAAAAAGCAGCAACAACAATCGCTGTGATATGACTTCTCTCCACTAAGTGCTTAGGATTTCCTGTGCTTGATTTGTTGTGGCATTAATTTAGTGCAATGTGATTTTCTTTGTATTACCTTAGCCTGACAGAGCAGATAGAAAGGCAAATAAAACTGTACACATATAAGTACTTTAATATACAGCAGCTGCAAATTGTAAAAAAAAAAACTTGATTAAAAAAAACTTCTAGAGGGTGCCATTTACAGGAATCCATCCACTAATGCAAAGAAATCAACATGCAGACTAAATAATATAATGTACTATAATGTGAAAATGTAAAAAAAAACATTTACAAAAGATCATTTGATACTTTGAGAACATTGAGAAACTAGCCTCTTCTTTTCTTACTAGACAGATGTTTTTGTCCATGGCCAATTATTTAGAACCCAGAGACCAATATTTGAACAAAAATGTTCAATTAAAACTGTATGCATATTTATTAGGCAGCTGGTAGGCCAAAAAAAAAAAAAAAAAACTTAGGCTGATCATCAATATGTTACTTCACAATGAAATGAAACATGGGTCATTTCACATGAACATTAAACTTAACAATTTATGGGCATCTCTAGGTTGATTTCTTTGCATGAACAGATATGCTAATAGCACGGTTTCAAATATATGCCATTTGCAGCCACTGTATGTAGCTTTTGTCTATACAGAGAGTTAGTAAAGAGTTTCAGAATTGTAATAAAATGGTTATACAGTATAATAAAGTCCCTAAATCACAGGATTTCATAGTTTACTCTGCTACAGTGACGGAATAGTTCAGAAGTTGATCCTGGGGGCTTCTTGTTCACTAAAATAGCAGCAACAACAGAGGAGATTAGCTTTCTCACATGGGAAATGCACAACTAAAACAAAGCCACGTATTGAAGGCATACCACTTAGAATCATACATCCACGTTTATCTTGCATTTTAGAGTTGAATCATTAGCAAGTAGCCATAGCAACTCTGTTTCTTGAACAAAGGAAAGGGCTTTCAACTCTGAAAAGGCTCAATAAACATGGGCTTTCTGGTAATTTTATTCTTAGTGGTATGTGTACAAGTGTGGTCTAAGATTAGCCATTGCCTTGCCTAGGTCTGCTGATACAGAATGGGGGGCACTGATCAACAAACCCAAACAAAAGTTCAAATAAAAACAGTGGCCACAGAAAACATTACTATCATGTTTTCAAAATGAAAAAAATTAAATAAACACATTTAAATGCTGACAGTTTTTAAGAGGTGGAGGAGTGTTTGCGACACAATGACCCAAACCACTGTCACTAATGATATGGAACAAATAATGGCATTAATGATGGTTTTATTACTGGGCCTGATCTCCTTTAGCATGATCATTGTGAGGCGGTTAAAGGACACTCCTGCACCTTCATCTTGGAAATGCCTTCATATGAAACAGGGATCATGAGGGAGAGCTCTTCCCCTGCCCTCAAAATCCCTTCACAAAAAGCCAAATAAAACAACAACTGATTTGGGGTATGAGGTACTTTTTGAAAGCACTTTCATCCCGGGGCATTAGGATATAAACTAGGGATGGGCATTCGATGAAATTTTCTTAATCGATCGTCGGAAGAATTAACGATCGATTATCGATTAATCATTAACGTTTTTATATTAAAATGATCATCATTATTATTACTATCTGCACTACTAACCTGCATAAATAAATTCAACTTTACGACATATAAACCGTAACGACTCTAGAGCCACATCAATCCGTTTGACATTATAATGTGTTTAATTCAGTTTTGCGCAACTCTCACAGAAACGAAACTTAAAACCGCATCGCTAATTTGCATAAACTCAGCGAAGATAAAAATACAGCTCTTGTGCGCTGATGCGGTCAATTTCTGTCGGATTAAAAGACATGACTCAGTGGAATACAGGTTAGTGTGACCAGATTTGCGTTTGTCAAAACCAGGACACTGTACGGGGCGTGGGAGGTGGGTCCTCGTCATCGACCTTGCGCGACTCTCACCTGGTAAAGCTTTTTCCCACTGGACACCGAAGCATATGTGCTGCTTTATACACTGTGCACATGGACTCACACTTGTACCGAACGCAACGGAAAGCGTGGAATTTCTTGTACAAATCATCGTGAAATACGCATTTGTGCTTCGGTACGCTGCAGACTGACCGAATGTTTGTGTTTGCTCGCTCCTTCTGAGTGCAGAGACACACATGTACGGACCCTATTTGGTCACGCTACGCACAGCAACCTACATTCGGTTTGTCGATTAAAATTAACGTAATCGATGAAATTCTTAATGATCAATTATCGATTAATTGATAAATCATGCCCATCCCTAATATAAACATAGCTTCATTTTGTCTATGATAAATTCCCAGAGGCTTTTCTGAGCATGTGTTCATAAGAAACACACACCCTAGTGGCACAGAAAGGTCGGAGAGCCCGGCTTTTGATTCCCATGTTGTGGAATAAAAGAAAGAATTCTGAGGTTGTGTAACTACAAAAATGGGGGAAAAGAAAAGTAAATGGGCCTTTTTTATCTTAAACGTTGAAGGGAAACAGGAGAAGAATCATTTTTCCTGTTTTTCAGGCTTAGTGTCATTTCTAACCCTGTTATGTTTGTCTCTTGGAGCCTAACAGTAAAAAGAACTTGGGGTCATGTTGAATAGTGTATTTAGTTACAGTGCACTAACATTTTGTTGTATGGTACTGAAAGCTTTGGCTTCTCTAACCTTTCTCGGCCGCTTTTCCTCCTGCCTGCTTGTCCTTCTCAGAAGCAGGGTCCTCTCTCATCAGCGGTGAGGTAAGACAAATGGTCACCTGCATTTTGGGCTCCTTGCTTGAAAAAATGATGATGTTCGCCTCCTCGGGGTGAGCCTGCACCTCATACTGATCTTCAGAAAATGTCTGCCAGTTAAAAGGACACTTGGAATTATTCACTACAGAGGAGAAGAGGTGTCGGGACACATGTTGGCAACAATTTGCAGTTTTTTATCAATTCATATTCATCTGTGCATATAAAAATTAATGGTGTATTTGTTTAATTCTACTTCAGAAGGATCTTGTCTCACTCTGTAGGATTCAGGTGTCGTAACAGGCAGTAAATCTAAAGATCAGTGAAAAGCATTTCTCCTCAAAAACTTCAAACTGAATCGTGAAGGAGGAATAGTTAGAGCATGACACATTACAACCTCTGGATCTACTGATGTCTGGAGTCAAATGTCTTCACAGCCTTAAATACACACCAAACATAATCTGCATGCTGAAAGTTAAAGTTTGATTATTACTTAAAATAAAATGGAAAATATGCAATTAAAATACTGTGCACTGAAATATGAATAAAAATGGCAATGGTGCTAAGAATTATGGCAGTAACATTCACATTCAAATTAAATAGGTGTTTAAATGGTCAATTATCAAATCACAAAGGCTGGAATGTAATGAAATATAATGAAACACCATTTCAGTTTTTGTGAGGTCTAATTGGATTTGTGAGTTTTCAAGGAAAAATTTGATGTATTAAAAAATCATCCCCAATAATAATAGTAATACATACATGTTCAGTGCAGTAAAACTTTATAATTTCTGTGATTTCATTATTTTCTCCAACCCTATTATCACTTGACACTCTTACCGCTAACTCCTTTGGCAGCTGTTTAGCAATGTTCTTCAGTAAGGAGATCGTGGGTTTTTTTGCAGTCAGCAATATGAGCTCCACGTTTCGGTCTCCTCTGAGCAGTAGGCCCTTGGCTAGGATGCCAACCCTCATCACACCTTTTAGGAGGCGTCCTAAGTTTTCAGTGCTGTAAAAGCAAACAATACTAAGCCAACAGAAACAGAACTTCCTCACATATACTTGAAAATAGCATACCCTTTGTCATCCCCCTCTTCAGTATCAGCCGTGGTGACTGCAATGGGGTCCTTTTCCAGCAGTGAGTCTGACACCAGCTTTAGGGCCCTCTCAGAGTGGGACACAATCTTTTGAACTGCCTGAAGCTCTTCCTCCACTGGGTAAATGGTGGAATGTTTAGCCATGATGTGGCGGTCATCAGGGGAGTCTGGTCGGCGAACACATGTCTGAGAAAACACACAGAAATTTAGACAATACATTGTATTGTGGGTGACAATGCAAACATCCAAGTATAACAAAATTAGGACTGGGCATGTTAATGCATTTAAGTATAATTAATTGCAATTATTTATTTTGATGTGAGTTTACGCAGGTCACATTAGGGCTGTCGCAGTTAGGGAATCTCTCCTACGGTGTGGTATAGCGGCTCAACAGCACGGAATGTAATGATATCACACTCCCTCCCCCACCCCCCGGAGTTATAATATTTCCAGTGGCACTGAAACAGACAGAGCAAGTGTCCGCAAAGCGCGATCGGGCGAGGGCCGAGGTCTTGGGTTAGTCCTGGGTTAGTCCTGGGTTAGTCCTGGGTTAGTCCTGGGTTAGTCCTGGGTTAGTCCTGGGTTATCACAGGCACGGGTGGTAACGGGTGGAATATTAACGATTCTGGGTGGGTGCAGGTTTCTAAAAATGGACCTGTGCAAGACTCTGGGTTGAGTCACGTTGGTCACAGACGGTGATCGCGATGGCCCAACATCCACCGCGGTGGGCCTCTTAGTACCATAGTGATTAATTTTTGTGTTTTTTGCAACAGCCCTAGGTCCCATGTATCAGTAAAAAAAACTGGATCAAAGAGCCCCACTCATGATTAATCACAATTTAAAAATGCGACTAAACACAATTTCGAAATTTAAATCGCTGCCCAGCATAAACAAAATGGTTATTATCAGTCAAAACTTTGAAATCTCACCAGCAGGGGAGGCACAGGCATACCAGGCCTGCTCATGAGAGGTGGTGGAGGAGGCATTCTGCGTCTCTGATCTCCCCAGTACATCTGCTCCTCCTCCATCCTCCTCCAGTACATATCCTCTTCATATCGCCTGTGGAACACAACTGTCTGCATTAACATGCCACAACAAAACTAAGAAATAAGGACACTTCACAAGATGAGCTTTATCAAAATATAAACAAGTTCAAAATCGTATTTATCCGGAGGTTGCCATTTTATGACTAGACCTTGTTATTTTGTTACATTATATTTGTTGCCATACCAATCATAGAGTGTATATGGTTAATTCCACGCCAAATCTCCGAATGCCCCTGCCCGACCATCTCAGATTTGACTGAAAAAATTCTAGGAGGTTCACACACATTCCAATAGGAAAAGTCCCAAATTTTATCTCTCAACTCCTTATAGTTTCGTCATTAAAAGATATTTTATCAACTCTGTCCTGACCTGTTTTAAGCAGAGTTGTCTAAAGAGCCACTTTCAGACTGCTGTATCTAAAAAAACTATTTAAGGTAGGTCCTTCAAATTTTCAAGGGTTAAAACTTGGCAAATGTACTTGTAGAATATGGACTTGTACACTTGTGCTTTTGATTTATCACAGATTTCTGGGGGCTTTAATTTGCTCAAAAATTTTACTCTTCAAATTTGAGGGCATCTTTGAAGGACTGTGGAAAGTGCAATTTTAAAGACAGAGGTTTGATATTGAACATACACCTTCCCACACATGCTCTGTATTTTGTATTTTAAAGCTGACCCTCTATGATGAACGCTCTAGAAGATATTAAGTGTTAAAAATGGAAAAAATTAATTTGGTGCCATCTTTACCAGGTTATACCAAAAAAATTATAGCACCCACCAACATAAAATGGTCTGTTCTAGAAAGATGTCTAGAGGTCTAGAAAGCACCACCCACCTGATTTTATTTTTTATTATTTTAGATCAGATTTGTATAAAGGATTTTTTAAAAATATATATTTCATGTGCACAAGAAACAGATACGATTTTAGACAGGAGATATGCTGGGGATGTACATAGGCAGGTGAAGGCAACTCAGTGGGGCTCGCAGGTCCTAATTGTAAAGTGTGCCTGGACGTGAATAGCGTGGTCATTAATGTGTCTCTTGTGTTTCAGTGCATACGGCATTAAATGGAAGTGAATATACACTCTCTGAAGCCTCTTTGTCAGACCACAAGTGCTACACTGTTTTTAACATATCCAAAATTAATGGTGTTAATGGTGTTCTGCCTTATTTTTGCTAAATGAATTTTTGAAAATATGGTGTCCGCATACATGCAGAGCATTCATGGACTATGAAAGTACTTTCAGAAGCTAAGAAAACACTCTGAATATTTGACACACAGCTTAAACTCAACAAAATGCTTTTTCTTAGGCATCCTGTTATAGTGCTAGGAACATCTATTTTAGAAATGATGTGTGATAAAAGGTACCTATGGTACCACACCTTTAAGGTATTCTATGGAAGCCCTGAGCCGCAAGTGTAAAAAAAAAAAATAATAATAATAAATTAAATTAATTAATTATAAATATATATATATATATATATATATATATATATATATATATATATATCTTATCTTATTATTTTGAGATATTATCTCAGTATTTTGAGGTAATAAGTAATTATTTCGAGATATTAAGTGTACAATTTTTATTTTTTTGAGAAAGATCAAAATAACAAGATAAAATCTTGAAATAACGAGATAATATAATAATTATTATTTTATTATTTTTATTTCTTTTTTTACACTTGCGGCTCAGGGCTTCCGTAGACTAGTGCTGGGTACCTCTACAACACATCATTTCTAAAATAGATGTTCCTAGGGAACAGGATGCCAATATACAATTCAGGAGTGTTACACCAAAACATCTGTTGGTTTCCTCAAAGAATTTAAATAATTTACAATAGTTAGAGTAATACAGTAGAGTAATAGAGTAATCAAATCAAGCATTTTGTTGAGTTTAAGCTGTGTGTCAAATATTCAGACTATTTTCTTAGCTTCTGAAAGTGCCTTCATAGTCCATGAATCCTCTGAATGTATGCGGACACCACATTTTCAAAAACTCATTTTGCAAAAATAAGGTACCATCACAAAATCTGGATATGTTAAAAACAGACATCTAGTTTTTCTAAAACATCATTTTATGTTGGTGGGTGCTATAATTTTTTTGGTGTAACCTGGCAAAGATGGCACCAAATTTATTTTTTCCATTTTGAACACTTAATATCTCTATATATACTTTCCACAGTCCTTCAAAGATGCCCTCAAATTTGAAGAGTAAAATTTTCGAGCAAATTCAAGCCCCCAGAAATCTGATAAATCAAAAGTCCTACTTTAAATGTAGTTAATATGATTACTGAGATTCAGGAGGAGGACCACGCCTCAGCCGCCTCTCCTCTCACCAGCGAACCACAACTCACCTTGACCACGCCTCTAATTTCCCAGAAGCTTATATGTAGCAGCCTTTCCCATCATCCTAGTTTGTCTCAGCTAACTCGACCCCATATATAAATGGCCAAAGGTAAAATGCTAGCCACCGCAGTTCAAATAGGAAGTGGGCATGGGCGAGATTCAGCTTTGTCGACTCCCATTCACTTTCCATTGAAAAACTCTGTGTAACTGTTGCTGGCAGACCCATCACTCTGGTCTTAAATGTTGATATTAGCCTGCTCTACATTTCACAATTTTGTCTGTAAATCAAGACATGAACATTAACAACAGACCAATGAGCTGTCCTCTTTCACCAAGATTGTTAGTAACAGATTTGATTGACAGCGTTGCTAAGCACCCACTCCCAGCTAAACAAGTGGTGTGGGCGGGAAAGGACATTATCTTCAATCACCTGGCTCATGACTGGCTCTTTGGTGTGCTTTGATACTTGTGGTTGGAATTCCAAATATGGAACTCTACTCCAAATTCGTCCCTAAAATTATTAGCCTTGATGAATTTCATTTGCCTGAAGGTGAACACTGTGGGTGTAACACTCCCTTAATCCACTTCTTTATACAGTCTAACATACAAACCCATCTTTATCTTTTCAAAACAACAAAAGCCTTTGAGAAACTCTCACCTCATCTCCATATGCCAGCGCTGCTCATCATCCCTCTGACGCTTCAACACAGCCTTTTGTCTTTGTTTTTTTAGCTTGTTCTCCTGGAGCTTTCTGGCCCGGTTACTAGGTTTAATCTCCACTGGGAGCTCAGGATTGACTTTCTTCTAAATGGTGTATGAAAACAAAATAAATGTTTTACAACACACAGTATGTTACAGCAGCAGCAATCACATTTTAAAAAAGCATTCACACTTTAGAGGCTCAGCTATTCTGACAAAACTCGAAGTCTAATTCTTACCTTGTACTGCAACCTGTGCCTTCTTCCCTTCAAATGCATGTCTTTAGCATTAGGGTCATTAAAGCTGCATTCACATAATTTACAATGGAATCTGATTACTTTGCCATCATCATTAAGGACCTGAAAATATTTAAATGTCAATACTTTGTGAAAGTAGTAAAATACTTTATTTTAATTTAAATGTAATTGCATTACTTTTCAGAAGCATATTTCTTACCTCCTCCACATAATTGTGCCCCACTGGCTGGATGTCTCCTTGGCTCCCACCTTTGTCACTGTCCTCATCATCGCTTTGAACTGACTGCATAGGCTCATCCATTTTAGCAGCCATGACCACCTCAGGGACTGCAGGAGAACTAAGAACTGGCTTATTGGCTAGGGTGAGACAGACAGAAGCACTGGGTCTTTTGAAAAGAGGCAATGACGTGACAAAGTTAAAAAGGAAACAAAGCTAACTTACAGATCACTGTTTTTGCTGGGGCTGGTTTCTTTAATGGTATCGATGTTTTTACATTGCACAGAGCTGTCACTTTAGGAGCTCCCGTAGTTGTAGAGGTAGTGGAGACAGAGGCTGAGGCTGGGACAGAGGGTTTCCCCGCTGTTGTAGTTACTGCTGGATTTAAGTTGATCAGCACAGGCTCTGTGGATGGAATAGGTTTCCCCAGCTTGGTGTGAAGTTTAACCACCTGTTTAACAAATGAAAGAAATAACTGAGTTAAAGGTTTGGTACGATTATAGTTAATTCAGATAATTCAAATAATGCAATGTTGGAAGCAATTTCATGAAATTACAGCAGTAGTGGAATGGATGAATTAGGTTGAAATGAAGCAACGAAGTATAATAAACTATTTTTATCTTTATTTAATAACTATAGCTTCTATTTGGATTTTGTTACAGTTTCTGACCAGAATTTTAGATAATAACAATAATTAAATAAATAATACAGGTACCTTTTGGTGTTTTGACCCGCGAATATGGGCTGCATAAGCATCCACTCCAGTACATGAGACATCACATAACTCACAGCGCAGCTGAGTTTGAACACCTCTGGGCCCAGTACTAGCCCCAGTTTGTCCCACTGACTTGAGAGCAGCCTCTTTTTTCTTGTGCTTTTGGCCATCCAAATGCTCTCTGTAAGTCTGATTAAAACAGTTTTTTTAGTATACCATTCCAGGCACTGACGGAATAAACATTTTGAATAAATTCAATGCAGTGATAATAATCTACCATATACTAATAATTTTTACCTGAGGGCCAGCACAGCTTATCTTGCAAATATCACAGTAATGAAGCTGAGGTTGCTTGGGCGGCCCTTTAGGCTTTAACAACTTGTTTTGGTGAAATGATGGCTTTTTATAACTGTTTCCCGCTGGAGTTGCCACCATGTTACTTCCTGAATTGCTCCAAGATGAACTTGTGAGCTGCTTATGAACAGACTGGATGGGCAGTTGGGGTTGTTGAGCCTGGGGAGGTTGCTGAGGAGGAGGCTGGTGCTGGGTGAGAGTGGGTTGTGCAGTCTGAAAATAGGATGGAGTTGAAGTGGAAGTGTACCCAGCAGAATCATAACTGGAGTAACTGATGCCTAAAAGAACAACAGGGAAAACACATGGAGTGATTATCAAATATTACATAGTAAAGTGCATGGAAGGGACTTTCATGCAGCAATGTGTAATTTTCTTGTTAGAAAATTGTAAAGAATATTTTTTATTTAAAAATAAATTATGAATCTGGTGCTTTTACTAACCTGAATAAGATGTGGCTGATGCAGAGGAACTAAAAGAAGAACCTAAGGTGTACGATGAAATTGGAGTCGGGGGCTGCTGGACACTGGTGGATGCTGAATAGATGTTGTAGCTGGTTGACACTGAACTTGCCGGTGCAATTGGTTTCAGAGCAGTTACTTGCCTCTGTGGAGGAGGTGGCTGGCTATACACAGTGGTAGGCACTGGATTGTAAGCACTTTTCACTCCCACTGTAAATAATTAAAACAGAAAAGGGACTTCCATGCAGCAATATGTAATTTTCTTGTTTTATGAATCAATCATCTAATAGTACTTCACATTTAAAATTATTTTCATAAAGCTATACTCACCAGTTTGGTAATAATTTTCTGTGGCGGTCCTTTGTGCTGGGGCATTACTTGTTTGATAATACTGTTTATTTTCATAGGAGGTTGCAGCAGCACTGCGAGCATAACTATAATTGTCCTGTTACAGGTTAAATCCAAGAGAATGTTGTAAACTGAATATAATCCCAAAGCATTGTGGATGAAATTTTTAGTAGAAAGAGAGAAGGACTAACCGTGTCAGGAAACACCTGATACGTTTGTGGTGTGGTGGTGGGTTGTGGGGCAGCAGGGGGGTCTGGTTGCCTGTAGGTGAACTCTGGAGGGGCCTGGTGGCTCTGATAAGCAGGATAAGGAGAAGAGGCAACTGGACGTGCTGCTTGCACTGGTGGTGCAGAGAAGGATGTGGCAGTCACAGCATGAGCTACAGCAGGAGCCTGCTGGACACTGTAACTGGCCGTAGATGGGTGGGAGTATGCTGGTGGAGGCTGGGTGCTAAGGAGATTGACAAAAGGAAAAATCACATCGAAATTAAGTTAATTAAGTATTGTGCATGTACTCTATTATAGCATTGCCCACTGTCCCTGCTGGATGACAGATCCCTTACTGATGCAGTCTCCTCCCACAGCGGACTGTGACAGTGACAGCTGATAAACAGTTTTACTGCATTATTGCATTTTGCCATTCATGATAGATGCATGTTTAGAAAGACAATCCCAGGAGGATCACCCCTATTTTAAAAAGTTGACAGCCATCATCTAACATTATAAAATGTTCATACACTTCGGGAATGTTTTTTCCATCACTCTGTCAGAGGCTGGACCTCACTATATATTGTATACAAAACAGGTTCTATAAATAAAGCTCTGGCCTACTACGACCTCCACTCCTGTTAGCTGGTCAAGCTAACGTTTTGCAGCGTCCAAGCGCCTCACGTTTTAATAAACCACCAGAAGATATATCACACAGATAATTAGCTTGAACTGAGAGGGTACACTGACATACAAATGCATCAGCTGAATTACCTGTACTGACCGGCACCATGTGAAAAGCCGAAGTAATTGCTTGCAGCCATCTTGGCATCTCCAGCAGGCTACAGTGCGGCAGAGGAATTATCGGCTAGCGTCAAGATAGATAGTATTTTACTGCAGATGATACTATTTCCGTTCGGTTTCACGTGGACGAAAATAGTAAAATACATAGAAATAACCAATCTAATGAAGTTTATTCGTGGGTTTTCGACCACAGATATAGTATCTTATCTTCTGTTGGTGTTTAAGTGCTATATAGTCATTTTCGTCACTTTTTATCCCCATTGAAACTGAACCGTTAAATGGGAAACACAGCTTTCTCTTGCTTTGCTTAATACTCTTTAGGGCTAACTAAGCAGCTGAAGACCATGCAGTGTTCATCAACCACAGACTGTATGGCATCTACAAAACTAGATTCCATAGCGGATTTTGAAAGAGCATAATTATTCTGGTGAAATATTCTGAATTAGTTAAAATATTCTGATCGATTGGTTTAATTCAAATTAGTCAGTTTGAGTTTGTATGTCTACATAGACACAAAGTTTTTTGTTTTTTTTTGCTTGCTTGCTGTCCTTTTTTAATAGTTTTATTATTGTTATTAATATGTCTGCATCCAGTAAGTGACAGGGCGGTGTGAGCTGGGGTAGCCCTATGGGGTAAGTAGTGGGGCAAAAGAAGAAGGAAGGAGAGAGATGATGCTGTTGCCAGGGAACAGTGGCCATAGAATTATAGCAGGATTGGGCATGAGAAGCACAGAGAGGATTTCATTTTTTCTTATTCTGAATTATATTGCATTTGGTCAGCATTAGAGTGATATTAAGTAGAAAGATTTTACAACAAACAGTATGAAAGAAGAGACAAGGATGCCAGGGCAGAGCATTAAAATTAAGGAATAATTGTGTTTTGATGTGGAGTAAGTCATGCCATACCCCCTTCATGTTCATGAGGAGAGGAGGGGGTCGACACAGAGGTGCCCTGTCTTCAGACACCTGCGGCTGCCATCGAGGACACTGTAGACTGTCTGTGAGTGCTGGCATGTGCATCTGAATCAGAAGGACAGAGTCAGAGGACATTTCATCGCCTCATCTTTGGGTCGCTCTCCATATAGGTTTATTTGTCTGAGCCAGCAGAGGAGACGGACCACCCCCCACCAGGTTTGACTCTAAATGCTTTTGTGAGTATTACTAATATAGGCATACTATTCTTTAAATAACCATTTATAGCCACTAACGCAGTAATGAGGCTGACCTAGAAACAGTACAATGCAGTTTTACACTACATTTGAAAGCAATTTCTTCAATAGTTTTTTCTAATGAATCTTTTGAATACTATACCAGTGAATAACACTAAAACTGTATAATGTGTTTGGTTCTTCTTGCCTGTTGCTTATATACGGAGCATATATACCTGTAAGTGTGTTTGTAATCGTTTGTAGCTGCACCACTTTTGTACAAAAAGGGTGCATTAGCTCATTACTAGATCATGTAAAGAACATTATTCTTGAAATATACAAACTATCTTGAAATTATGTGCATCAGTAAAACATTGTTTCAGTACATGGCTCTAGTTTGAAGAGACATGTAGTTGTACCGAATTTTGATTTTGAGGGGTGCTCAGAGTCACATGCCTCTCACATGTGTTTGTGGTGCATGTGACCCTCAACTGTTATAACCAATTTTTAAAACTGGAATCCCTCTTCAATAGGGATAACTGGAAAGCTTTGCAATCATAGATTACTAAAATATGTGTAACTAGGAATATGTTTTTTTCTTTCACCCTCAGGTCTTTGGGCTCTACTCTGAGGGATGGGCACCACAGAGGCAACTCTGAGAATTGAACACATGGAAGTCCGAGATGAGTGGCAGGATGAAGACTTCCCAAGGTTTGGTCATCATTTGTGTCATATACATTATTATTATAGCTATTCTTTCCTGCACCCTGCAAAATTGAGCATAGAATATTATAAGACATCTCTGAACTAAAAACAAGCTTACAGATTCAAAATGATTATATTTTTGTTTCTCCACTAATTTGTTATTGAAGTATTGATAATTTGACAAGAAAGAATTTGTAACATAATGAATGATAAATACTGTACTAATATAGGCCTAGTGTACAAAGGTTTTGAAATATAATGCTTTGAGTACATAACATTGTATCCAATGAATAGCAAGAAGGTATGGTGAATGTCCTGTAAAACTGACTTGACCCCCCATTGATTTACACACACACACACACACATACAAACACACATGATGGGTTTCAATGTTTTGGGAAACTGACTTATACACGCACACGCACGCAAACACACACATACAGAAGCACACATGCACCCTAGTCTATCTATGGGAGGAGGGGGGAGGGAGGAGGGGAGGAGGGGAGGAGGGGAGGAGGGGAGCAGGTGCATCTGACTCCACAAATGATCTCGGACTACATCATGTGACGTAGCAGCAGTAGCAGCACTGAACAACAACACAGCATCACCAGGAAAATGGTGGCATCCGGATTTGCTTCATAACAGCCAATGCAGTAGTCTCATCGTAAGACTTTTAATAGAAACGTTTGGAGACAAGAAGCTAATCTGAATTGGGTCTGACTGCGGCAGTTTTTCCATAAGGTAGGAATAACACCAGCCCTCTATACTGAGCTGTTGATGCCGCAGAGGATACACAATAGAGTTAATTCTACATTTGTTCAAGAGAGATGGAGAGGGTATTGAACATTTAGTCACTGCAGGGGAAGCTGAGAGACTTGTCACAGTATATTTTAATGGGCTCAAGCCTCTCATTATGACTCACTGGGATCTGAGATGTCCCTATGCAGGAGACAGGATGAAAATAGTCAATTTGTTCATCTTTATTGCTGTCTGCAAGGCTGATTGTACAGAATAATAATGCGTGTAACTGTTTTGTTTGAACACAATGCAATATCTTAATGTGACTTGCGGGTAAACAAAGACTTTAATCAATAATACACACATTGTAATGCACTTTTTGTCTATAGTTTACTTCTCTCTGGGATGACTGAGGTTTCACTGTCGTTGGTGTCTCTATTGTCATTGCCTAGTTTATAATATGGACAGGTTATTTACATTATATGACTAGTAAGGGTGGGATGAGACACAATTTCCATACCAGATGAGAAGTGAGATCGGGTGTCAGATGAGATTTTGACATTTATAATCAATCAGTACTTTCAGTTCACAATTGATTTACTTAATTTTTGCTGTCATTGTAGCACTGTTTTATTTTAACTTCTCAAGATATTTAACACACCAGGACTTAAAGTTTTTTTTGTCTAATCCAAATATAAACACAGGGGAAAAAAATCTCACAAGATAAGTTTTCATATGAGTGCATCTTGTCTAGTAACTCTCAAAAACTGATTAGAACTAGTATTAGAAATTAGAACCGTCTTTTCTTAGGCTATAATTTATATGTTTTCTACCAGCCATATGTTCAAATTACTTATTTTGATTAAATGAACGTGATTTGTTGGATTCTATAAACATTTTACTTTTGTACAATAAAACATTTTTGCCTGAAAGAGTTAGAATTTCCCTGATTTGATTTATTTCCCCACAGACCACTCCCTGAGGACGGCGACATGGATCCCTCTTGTGGGTTCTCTGATAACAGAACCTGTGAGTAACCTGGACAAAAGTGATCAAGATACAGTATTATGCATTATGTTATTATTGTCCATATACACTTTTTCTAAACTTGCAGCCCCCCCTAACACCCTGAATTTGAGCCCACCTCAAGTGGGAGGAGGGTCTCAGCAGAAGCGGCGCACTCTCATTGCTCCTGAGATGAATCTGTCTCTGGACCAGAGTGAGGGCTCACTGCTGTCAGATGACTTCCTGGATACTCCGGATGACCTGGACATAAACATTGATGACATTGACACTCCAGATGAGACAGATTCACTTGAGTTTATCACCAATGGCAATGATCTGGAGTGGGAAGGTCAATTATTTGATTTAGTATAACTTTTGCTTTAAATGTTTTACAAAGTGATGTACATTAATGCACTTGTACTTTCCAGATGATGCTCCTGTGGCCTCAGCCAAGGCAGGGCCTGGAAATTGTTTTGGAGAAGAGGATGATGGGAACGCAAATGAACGGCTTTGGAGGACAGTCATTATTGGAGAACAGGAACATCGCATTGATATGCAAGTCATCAGGCCATATCTCAAAGTCATCTCACATGGAGGTAAAGTACCAAATCTGATCATTGTTCTACCTTGTAGAATAATAATAAAAAATATGAAAATGCAGATCTGAACATGTCTAATATGATTAAAATAAAATGCATTTCTTTTAGGATATTATGGAGAAGGCCTTAATGCGATCATTGTGTTCTCTGCGTGTTACCTGCCTGACAGCAGCAGCTCTGACTACCACTACATTATGGAAAACCTTTTCTTGTGAGTGGACCTTCATTTTTCACTTTACATTTGAAGAAACAAAGTTCTAAGTACATGAGACAACTTCTCCTAGATATGTGGTGAGTAGCCTAGAAATGCTGGTCGCTGAAGATTATTTGATTATATACATGAATGGAGCCACCCCTCGCACTAAAATGCCTGGAATCAGCTGGCTGAAGAAATGTTACCAAATGATTGACCGGAGGTGAGGAAAAAGTCTTGTATTTGAAAGGTTTAGTTAGTTTAGTCAATATAGACATTAAGTTTGTTAAAAATAAATTACAACTAATTAGCTAGTATCCATCTGCAGTCCGTGATTTGATCACGTGTTTCTATTGTAGACTGAGGAAAAACTTGAAATCTCTGGTCATTGCCCATCCTACTTGGTTCATAAGGACTGTACTGACCATATCAAGACCCTTTATCAGGTAAGACATTATATATATATATATATATATATATATATATATATATATATATATATATATATATATATATATGATAGAGCATTTTAGAGTAAGATGTATCTCAGAATCCAAATTATTTTTAATGTTGTGCATATTTCAGTGTAAAGTTTATGAATAAGATCCGGTATGTGCATAGCCTGGGTGAATTAGCTGAAATCGTCCCCATGGAGCACATCCACGTACCTGAGTGTGTGGTGCAGTAAGTGTCTTGTACCACTAGATGGCAAATGAATCCACTACCATATTTGATTAAAGTCTTAAAAAGTAAAATGAAAATGTTTGTCATGTGTTTTAGGTATGACCAAGAGAAAATCAAAGCCCGGAGGGAAAGGTAAATGTTTAAAGTTGTTCATTGTGTTAGGTACCTTGCTGTACTTCATGTACATGTATTTATATATGTATGTGTGTGTGCAGACTGGAGCAAGAGCAGCGGCAGCAGGAAAAGCAGCAGTCTATCTCACAGGATTCAGCAAAGAAGTCCGAGAGGTGGGAAACTATTGAACACATTTTATATACATTATGTTGCTGCAATTTAGTGCACCGTTATATAAGACTAATTCATTATTATTGTGCTGTATGTTTTAAAGAATGTCAATGGCCGCTGATTAATTTGACCCAGAGAAAACAGGACTGGATGAAGAAGGTAATGCAAACAGAATGTTCAAAAACTAGACTGGCTGGAACTAAGAAATTTTCAAATTATGTGTCTTTTCTGTATATGTAATTTAATTTGTGTTTTTTTACAGGAGCAAGAAGCATGAAGACTTATATTTTGCCTTATGAAGGGAATGCCTTCTTTCACAAATCCACAGGCTCTAGTTCCTTCCAGCTAAATAAGGGAGAGTGCAAGTGCTTTATGACAATTTATGGCAAATGGACATTTATTCACTCTTGCTTCATGCTTTTAATTGTAGGACTTTAAAACATTGCAACCCAAACCCACCTGAAGTGAAAGAAGAGTTAAAATGACTGTTGAATGTTGGTATCAGATAAGCCGCTATGCTAATGTACTCATAATAACTAGCATATTCTGAATATACAGAACATACAATGCAAATATTCAACACAACAATGATGTTACTATATCATGCCTTCCTGATTGAGTGTCAAAATCAGTTCACTGTTCTGCTTCATTGCTTCACTGTACTATTCATGTGCCTCAAACTTAACACACATTTTCTACGCTATATCATTTAAAACATGCATAAAAATTGCATGAATTATTTCTATCTACATAACAGCATCTTGCCTTATATTGTTTCACTAACTTTATATGCATCCGCTGTGGCTTCAATCCGCATTATTAGTTTGTGTTTGTTATGGGTTTTACATGTCAATATTATATTACGTATAACCACTGTGTGATTTTTGCCCTATTTCACAAAGCAGACATCCAAAATATATCTGTTATCTGACAAATTTTTTTCTTTCTCTGAATGAGGAAGCAAATTGTCAAATGAGAGAGTCCTTCAGACAGCAGCACAGGGAGACGAGTTAAACTCAGGCCAGGGTTAACAGGGTAAAACAGACTCCAGGGTAGGACAGACCAGGTTAGGTTTACAGAGTTACTATGGTAACTTGGGGACACTATAAACTTTCAAGATTAAAAAGTTATGAGTTCAAACTAAACCTGCTTCTTGAATTAGGGCCTGTGTTCTTACATGCATTTTTAAGTTACTTTTTTCCTGAATGTCTTCCATTGTTAGTATATTGTAGCAGGAGGATAATTTTTTTTTTATTTTTGTAGCACAAAACATACTCTATTTTGAAAGTGTATATTCATTGCTTTATGGGTTTGCTAGGCCTATGACCCATTTATATAGGAACTGTAATTAGTAATGTTCTTCTTTTTTGTTTATGAGGAAGCACCACCATAGTTTTTATTTATTGCTATTTTTGTTTAATTTCACCATATTCAGTTAGACTACTTTAATTATTTTTGTAAAAAAAAAAAAAAAAAAAAAAAACATTTTAGTTGTATAACTATTTGAAGACACTCTTCTGGAATAAAATGGGCTTTTTCATAATAAAAGCACAAAGTTGGCAATACATTACAATGATTATACCATATTTGTTACTTGATTGTAAAATAATGTGGCCTACATTAAATCACTATTTTGCCTTTGTTCATATTGTAAAGTAGCAGGCCTAAATGTAATAAATACATTTTCTGCAAAAGTATTACTGGTCAAAGCTGTGATTATGTTGGTCACTGTTGTTCAGCAGATATTCCTGGACATATATGGACATAGGGCTTCCTGTGATGTCACTAGCCCAGACCATCACAAGCCTCTGAGCATTTCAAACCATGGTCTATGTTTCAATCAGAGGGAAGAGAGAGATGTCCAGACCGTGGCCTTTCACCCAATGTGGACTGAATTCTTCTGCCATCGTCAAAAATAGAAACAGACGATTAACTCTTTAAAAGAACAAGAAGCTTCACCATGTATAGCCCAAATATACTTAAATACATTGATAATATTTATATTATGCGTCATTTTACACAGGCGTGGAGCCAGACAAAATTCAATTTTACAAGAGCATTAGTAAAGTAAAATGGAAAATGTAATGTATAGCCTAGACTATAGTTTACTAATGTTCCCTTGGTGGGGAAACAAACTGCTTTTTGGGGGGAGGGGATTTAGGCAACTGGCAAAGACCAGTACAACCAGATCCTTTCCGCGTGTGCGGGCGGGTCAGCTGTAGTAGTTTTCCACAGTGACGGTAGTCAGCTGAACATTTTTATGAATGGAAGAGTTCATGATGGACAGTGTGATGGACAGAGACAGCCGCTCATGGCATATGTAAATACGGATACATCTGAATGGTGGAGGTCTGCTGTGTTGCGCTCTGATTGGCAAACAGGCGTGGACAGCGAGCACGTAACCCCGTCCTTACGTCGCCCTGACGTAGCAGCGCCAGTAAGATATAAATTTAAGCGCCTCCCGCTCACGCTTGTAGTAACAGCAACATACAGTGCGTTTTGGTAGATTTTTGGATATTTTACTATTTGAACAACAACCTTCTGTGTCAGTTTCTTTATAAAGAAAGAAGACCGAGGACAATATGAAATACATTATAGGAATCGGCGGGTAAGTGTCTTACTCTTGATAAAGTTGTGTTATCGCTGATTTACAATAACCTGCGTTTGCTAAACCAAAGAGACTCGTTTTACAAATATAAATGATGAGATTTTGAAATTGTTTTGCTACTTTGCTTGCCTTATAATATGTATTTCAGACATAGACTGCATGGTTAACAGTTCTAGCTGTCTCTTTAGGGAAAAGGCTTTATGTCTTTAATTTTTCACATTACTATTGTGAAGTTATAAAACTTTAAAGATGATTAAGATTATAGTATATTTTACATTTACTGCCCGCCAGAAATGTCCCAGTCGGAGGATTTAAAGTGAGGCGTGTGACTGGTTTGTTTGTGTGTTGACATCACTCGAGCGGGACTTTTGAAAATCACCCGCGTGCTTCCTCAAAAGTGGAGGGAATAGTGGCCAGACTGTCCTCTCTTAACTAACACATACATGTTCTGAGCCTGTATTTAATTTCAACTTTTACTAAGGCCGTGCCAACATGTTTAGTGTTGTTTTTTCATACATTTTACCAGAAGTAAACACATGTAAGTCACTTTATGGAACATGCTTATATATATTCTAATCTCTAATTAGCTTGAGCTATCTGTTTTATTTGTTATTATAAACTATCAACCCAATAGCTAATTTAATCAATTAATTTAACCTGATTTCTCATAATAGGGTGACCAATGGAGGTAAAACCACTGTGACAAATAAACTGATGAAGACTTTGCCCAACTGCTGTGTTGTGCATCAAGATGACTTCTTCAAGGTGAGTTTCTATGAGTGGTTTTTACCATAGACTGCACAGTCTATGGTTTCTACTTGAAGTTAGATTTATTTGATAGTTTTCCCCTTAAGATTTCAAAGAACACCATTTAAGTTACGCTTGGCATGTTATTGTTCTGGCATCCTTAACTTCCCTACCCCCAAAGCCTTTGTCTGTGGAGCATGCTCTTTTTCTGATGGAGATTTTCTCTTTTCACCCCATTTCCTTTCATTCACTGCATTCCTTCTTTTATTTATCAAATGTTAGATTCAGGGCTCTTTTAACCCTTCTTAAATTTGTTTGGCAATTAAACACCTGTGCCAGTGCTATATTCTGATTGAGCTATACTTTGAAGGTGTAAGTTTTGTCTATGTCTTTGATTGGCATTGTGTCCTTTATTTCTCTTTGTTTGAACTTATGTTTTCGTGGCATGTGAGTGGGCTCTATGAGTGTTCTGAATCCTAAGAGGATACAGCAATGTTTTATTGGTGACTGTTATTTCAGAAACCCGATCAGATAGAAGTTGGTGACGATGGCTTTAAACAGTGGGATGGTAAGACCTCACTAGAAACTGTTATGATCTTTGTTAACACTTCACCTAACCAAAAGACATCCAAATACATAAAGCACACACATCTTGTACAGACTGTAATAGAATATATATAATAATTACACATATGCCTTGTGTACATTTGTCATTGTTTTATAGTGATCACTGCCCTGGATATGGAGGCCATGACCAACACAGTAAAAGCCTGGATAGAGAATCCTGTGAAGTTTGCACGGTCCCACGGCGTCTCTTTGGCCCCTGCATCAGAAGTGGTGAACCCCGATGAGCAGATCCACATCCTGCTTGTGGAGGGATTTCTCCTCTACAACTATGCGTAAGTTCAGCCATTAGTTAAAACAACATCAATAACTATTCTTCTGGAGTGCTCACAAAAGAACACAATGTCCATAGTATCTATACAAGACACATTTATATAGGGTGTTACTTTCACTAACATTCTCCAAAGAGGTCCTAGTTTCTATCTTTTGAATGAAATCAGTACATTATACATATACATTTAAGTTATTCATTTATGATCTGATCCTCTTTTTTGCATGTTAAACAAATAATTAGAGAAATTTGTTGATTGTGGATTGGAAAATTGTGTAGGTGGTACATCCTTCATAATTAGTCACATGTTCATTCTCCTGCTCGGTGATTGGCTCGTAGGTCTGTAGATAGTCAGACACAGCTTCTGCGACCATAGATAATGTTCAGTAGAAAGAGGGGCTCTCAGTTGTGTTGTGTGATGAAGGTTACATGACTGCACAGATGTAGATAATCATTAATGAGGTTACATAATTGTTCCATAATATTTTGGGACCTGCGTGCTATTCGTAACACTAATGACTGACTGGCCTATGTCCCACTTTCATGTTCAGGCCCTTGCTGGATGTGTTCAACAAGTGCTATTACATCACGATACCCTACGAGGAGTGCAAGAGGAGGAGAAGGTAATCTAATTTTAAATTATCTGGTCCGTCATTTTTCATTGGTTATATTTTCAAAGTTTTGTGATTTTCATGTTTATGTATTTCTTTGTCTATTTTTAGTACCAGGCAATACACTGTCCCAGACCCTCCTGGCCTGTTTGATGGTCATGTGTGGCCCATGTATTTGAAACACAGGTTAGAGATGGAGAACTGCGGCTTAAATATTGGTAAGCCAAAGTGTACTGTTATCTTATTTCTCTTTGAAGGTGATCTATGTAACTTGTCTGGTAAAGGGTCCACCACCTTCTTCGTCAGGGAGATGTTATTACTTTTTCTGAAACCACTGTATGGCATGAAACATTTATCTCCATGGGGAAAAGCAGAGGTCAGATCGGTAGAGAGGATACCCCACCCACAGGGAGAATGCATGTAATTTCAGCAGTATACAAATGTAATTGAATAAAAGCAAGTTAGATACTGTACTTTTAAGGCCATATTGGAACATTTCAGGTGTACTCCCTAAAGAAAAATCCCATAGTGCTCCTGTAAATTATGTTATACTAAGTACAACCTAAACAAAAAAATGTCTCAACTTGTCAACTTCATATTTCTGTAGACTACTTGGATGGTTTGAAAACAAAAGAAGAGATCTACAATCAAGTGTATGAAGACATTCAGAACAGCCTCCTAAACTGTTTATAGGTAAATTGATGTTAATACATACACATTAAATATAAATGTTGTTATATTTAAATATCTCATCTAATCAAACTTTTTCCCTTATTGCAGCAGTGGGACCACTCTCCATCTATGTACAGGGTGTAAATAGTTCCAGTGATACCTGTTTTTTTAATTCTTTTTATATTTTGTAAATAGAGTAAAAGCAATGTTAAGTTATCATTGTCTTTTTAGCTTATTTATAGATTTGCTGAAAATGAATTGTGACTATTACATTGTTACTGTTAATGTGTTTTTTCAAGACTGTACTTCAAAATGCAACGTCAATAAATAACATTACTAAAAAGTTTCCGTTTCACTCATAACAACAAACAGATTAGTATGCCTTTGTATTTGTATTACATCTTAGATCTTGGAAGATAATTTTCTGTGGCAAAAATTAGTTATAATTTTACACATAATTAAGGACAAAGAATATTGGATTGAGAAGATTCACTACTCATACATAAAAAAAAAAAAGGTGTAAATACCTTTTATACACCCCCCTTTAATTTCTTATGTCCTTGTTTGCCTCATACTTAAGGGTAGGTCACAGACTAGCTTGAGATTTAAGTCAGCAGCAGATTTGCAATTTATTTACAACTGGACAGCCATCATGTGTTGGTTACATCTGTGATTTTATGAGTATAGGTTGAAGAAATTTTCTCATCATTTGGGAGTACTATATCTTTTCATACCACTTCCAAATAAGGCAAAGGTCAAGTCGGTCTATATATTTAGGGATCTTATCTATGATCCAGTCACTATTGTTAGCAAATAGGATATCTTTTTGAATTTGTTAAATTTTCT